TTACGGTGTGAGGTTTGTTTTAGCGTATCTACTTAGGTAAGCAAGCTTATATAAGAGGATCCGGTCGTGTAAGCACTTTCAGGGACCCCGAATGCCCCGACCGACCTGATCAATACTGTAATTATGTACGCGTCTGCATTACGATACAACTGACGCTTAGCCAGGCAAGACCCAGGAAGCAAGCGGCCAGAACAATAGAGGCCAGCGCGGGAAGAACCGTCCCTTCCGATAAGAACATGACAGTCGACCGCTCAGACACGAGCCGCGAACTTGGAAGTTAAATCAACGGAATTGGGCGTTCATTCGGGAAATAAACAAATCTGCGAGGGCGATCACCGATCATCTACCGTTTCAGGTTTTCACTGGGGCTTATGGAAGATTCAGTCCAGTCTAACACCTCGATGGGAGTTCATGATGCTTTGCATGAAAGGGCAGACTTGTCATCTTTCTGCCGTATCCGGTGACCGAGCAAAAACAATCATGACAACCCGGTCGTTGGGTAAAAGAACCATGCGGACCCACCACCACTCAAAGCCAGGCCCAAAAGTCCAGAACACTGCCCACCCCAGGGAAAAAGAGCTTGGCATCTCGAAATCAGGCGTTTCAGCTTTCATGGCACACATTTCCGCTTTGCACATCATCCAAAACCCACCGAGCCGCCCGCCTCCCTCGAAAGAGATCAACAAAGATCACCCATCAAACCCGCTGTTTCGAATCGAGAATTAACGGGAATGAAACGATTATCTGCATGATAAACGGCGGCTACACACGTGCTGCGCATGTGCTGTCTTTTGTTTTTCAGCAAGAGAAACACGTGGGAGTGTGGAGGCCTCAAACAAGAGATCGAAATGAACGGGAACGGATTCCCCTGAAGATCACACACGGACGCTGATCCAGTGATCCGGAAAATTAGCCCTACCCGTTACGTCCGTTCTCAAACAGCCGTCCACTGCCGTCCTTGCGTCCGAGCGAGCCCGTTAAGCTGAAAGAAGCTTTCCCTTTGTCTTCCTTCGCGGAGCCGGACACGAGATGCTACCTACCTAGTCGGTCGGTCGGTGACCACGAAGCCGATGGACGGCGACCACATCACATAGGCGACCAGATGAGGACGTAGAGACGGCGCCAGCGGAACAGCAGCAGCGTATCCGAACAGAAGCATCGTATCCCGAAGACGCCGGCCTTCGCCTAATCGACCTGCTAGTCCAGCGCCGGTCCTCCTTCAATCTCCCGCTTCATTGTCCACCATCATCCACCATTGTCCACCAGGCATTTATTACCCGTTTACAAAAATCTTACGTGATGCTTGCTGAGCAGCAGCAGCAGCAGCGGAGTGCGGACATTGGTCATTGCTACTCATTTCCATCATCAGCCGCCTCAGCCGTCGCCGCCATGACCGGCGGCCGCGGAAAAGAAACATCACCAATGGATCTCTAATGAATTGGATATCAAGCTAAGAAAAGTCCAATCTCCGGCCGGGACGCGGGGCCGGAAACGCTGGCTTTGGGGTCCGGGATTGCTCGAGCCCTTTTCTCAGATTGCTTCATATGTGCAGGCCGAGGTCGAGACCTGTCATTCTCAGCTCTTGGCTGTCATGGCGAGTCATGAGGCAGATTGAAGTTTTTTGGGATGTTCTGTGAGTATTAGGTAAGATATATGACTTGCTTCCGGACCTGTGAGCCGCCGTATCCTGCGTCAATCATGATATTTCTGAGGTGCTTTGACAGCTGGGTCTGGACCGTCAAAAATCTTTGGTGTAGGTACACACCTCCAGCAGTCCAGCTTGGTGATGTCGGATGAAAAAGCCTTGGCTTCAACATCTCTGCCAGCCTATAATCTTACCTAAACCATTACCATTACCTGAGAACCCAACATGAAACGTTGCATATCACAACTTAACTGGCAGCTTGCGCCTCATTGATGATTGTCTAGTCAAGTCTAGAAGCCTTGGAAGCCTTAGGAAGTGCCTTAGAAGCCTTGGAACATGCCTGAGAAGGACTCCTTCAAGGGAGATGTGGGAAATGCTTGGCGGGCTTGGCTTCAGCTTGTCATTGAGAAATTACAGAAATGTCAAAAACTCGATATAGAAGCCCTTTCCCATCACATTTCTTTTTTTTTTTCTGGAATTTCTGTTTGGCTGTTTGACTGACTGGCAACTGTCGCTGGTGTCGTGTCTTGGCTGATCTTTCGATGTCACGAGAACATCAATCGCAACTCGATATCACGATGTCTTCCACCACACACATTCAACTTGGAAACAATGCATCATCCACCACGTTCGACATTCACGATTTCCTTGGCCGTACAAGAGTATCTTACCTAAAATTCAATATATGTTAGCTAATCCAACAAATTCGCCAGTTCATTTGCCCATCCGTCTCCGTTGGGCCTGACCGCCCGAGTTTCGATCATGACATTGGCCGGGAGCAGCTGGGTTTTTTTTTCATCTCCTCTTTTTTTTTTCTCCTCTTCACGTCACTTGACCTTAGACTTTTTCTTCCTCCGCGGAGGATCATGTTATTGTTGAGCCTCACAAGCTGCATCGATCCTCTCAATCTCTCAACCCCTCAACCCAGCCAGCGTCCAAGCTATCAGTCGCAAGCGAGCAACCTACTGCACATGCAGAGTCCGAGTCAATTTCTTTCTCTTTTTTTTTTTCTCCCTCCCCGTGACCCTCAGGGCCTCGCTAATTCCATATCGCTTCTCTAGACCGGTTTCTTTGGAGCAGCGTCCCTTTGTGCTCATTCGTTCGTTCGTTACTTGTCTGGTCCTTGACGAGCACTTTTAGCTTCGTCTGTACATAACGTGAATCCCAGAAAGAACGAAAAGTTCTGTTCGTAACTTTCAGGCGAGTCCATGACAAGAAATATTACCGAGATTCCCGCAAATACCGTTGACATCTTGCACTTCGCAGTCATTCAGTGCATGTACCTTTTAACGTCCGTCTATGTACTTCGTCCACCAGGCTCGTCAGCAAGGTCGGGCAGCAAGGCCCGCAAATCCCTCTCACTGTCTTGCGGTGTCACCGGCGGTCCCAACCCGCATCAAGCAAGTTCCGCAAGGAGCAAATTCCGCTCGAGCACCCGCAGCAAAAAAATCCACGCGGACCAGGCCCGCCAATTTTAGATTTGGCCGGCCCGGGCTCCGTATCTGGCTCCACATAACCCACTCCGCCTGGCCCTCTTCGCCCCCGCAATTACGGACTGCGGGCTAGGTATGGGCTCGGCAACTTCCGTTGGGCCGTTGCACCGTTGCACCGACATGAACCAGCGGGCGGCGCTGACAACGTCGGTCAGTCAAAGGGTCGAAAGATCGAAGGGTCGAAAGATCGAAGGGTCGAAAGATCGAAGGGTCGAAAGATCGAAGGGTCGAAAGATCGAAGGGTCGAGACCGTGAAGCCGATATGGATGAGGACATTTCGGGTACGATAAACGGAGTTTGAGAATGACGTCTACGTAGAACTGGACTGCTATCGCCGACTCCTTGCTCCGTTCAAATTCACTCTGGAACTCTTTCTGATGCTTCCAATTCCAAAGTCCAAATGTGTATATTAGTATTGCACGATACCACCAAACAGACATAATCAAGACTGGAACAGAAGATCAGAAGAATGCAAGTCATCCCTTCGGAGCCCCCTCCGAACCGACTCGCGTCACTCGCCAGTTGCCAGTTGCCAAGCACTCACGATGCCCCTCGCGCCCCCTCTAACAACCAGACTTTTTGGTGCCAAGACACCATCTCGCCAAGAGGGATACAACTCTTCCCAGATTTCACCAACTTCTTTACACCTCTACCGGGATCAGAAGCGTTAGCGGGAGACTTGGGGCCTACAGAAAACTAGAATTTGTCACTAGAGTAAGTGCTACTCTTCTGTAGGACTCTGCTTCTCGCCACCAATCTGCACTACGAGGAAGTTCACGAGATTTAACCTTTCTAATCCCGGCAAAGGTGTACAATTTTTCCGCTTCTTTTGCTTCTGCATCCTGACAATTTCTTGCATATTGTAGCGGGCAAAAAAGTCTGGTCCTTGCATAACCTATACACGAGCACCGCCACCGTATCTCGATAGGATCGTGAATCCTAGTGTGAATCATCGTCATTTTGCGATGACGACGCGTTGGAACCGTCAAAAGTCCAAACAGGACGCAAGCTTGATGCACGTGAAAATGGCCGACGCAAAACAGCCCCAACCCAACTCGAAAGTCGTAACCGAAGAGCTTCGCAAGCTTTATCGCAAAAGTCAAAGCTCCCCGAATCCCCTACCCACATCACCCACTCGCCCCGACTGTTTGTCCCACCTTTCCTACTACTGTAGTGTACCTTGCCCAACTTTCCCACTTTGCCGGCTTGCCCCACATCGTGAGAACGGGAAACCAGCATGAACTGCCAAGTGCCAATGCCAGATCGGGTATAATCGAGCGAATGCACGATTTTGGGATATTGGTTTGACGGAGGGACCTCCGGTTTTTCGAGCCAGTGGTTTGGTAGATCTGGGAAGCGTTGATTTGGTAGAGTTGGTGCTGGCGACTTTACCTTACCCAACGGATATAGTGTCGTTCCAGATATGCAAAACTCCATACCTAGAGGTATGGTTGTAGAAGATCAGATTGAACGTTGAGGATGGGCTTATGGTTGCTTGTAAAGAGCCAGCGTTCTGTGATTTATATCTCGTGAACATTTTCTACCAAACTTCAAAGAACGCTCAGATCTATCATGATGTACAAAGGGAGGTGCCTCTAAAGGTATGCAACTGCAGTCATGCAATCAACATATCCATCTTCAGTTAGAAATGAATCCTATTTACAACGACGTTCTTAAGGTTGCCCGTGGTCAAGGTTGAGCCTCAACCCTCTCAAGAGCTGGTTGTTAACCTTGTACTTTAACCGGGCACCTCCATCATCAACCTCACAAACAAAGTCATGATCTCGCAGTCGTAACATGAACTTAATATGATTCTCAACATGCATGCCCATCTCATCCCCATCCCCCCTTCACACACACAATCAATCATCATCCTCCATATCAATAGCATCCTCTCCCTCCTCCGACACCCTCCCCTTCTTAATTTCCCTCTTCTTGGGCTTCAACCACTCCTCACACCCAAGCGGCCAATAAACCCGATTCAGCGGACCCCCCATCGCCCTCTCCTCCTCCGGGACCTCCTTCGGTGCCTCGGGCGCATCGTACACATCATCTGCCCCCGCGCCGACCTCGTCAAGTTCGATCGCTTCTTCATCCGGCGCTCTCTTCCTCTTCTGACTGCTTGACTTCTTCTTCTTTGGTCCTTTCGGAGGCGGAGCAGCACGGTTCTCGTCTTCGCGGATGTAAGGGACTATGTCGTTGATCTTTTCGAAGCCGGGAAGCTTGAAGGTGCGCATGAGCTCGAAGACGGCTTGTTCCTTGTCCTTGGCTTCGATCATTAGGTCCATGTCTGGTGGACAGGGAGGCAGAGTTGCCACGCGCGGACGATGCTTGCGGCGGTCGCGCGGGGTGATGGCACCGTCGCAGGGTTCGGAGTAGTGCATCTTCTGCTTGATGCCCTTGCGCTTCCAGGTGTTGGCGATGCGCTCTTGCAGCTTGGGTTCCGAAATGTCGAGGGTTCCTTCGCGGCAGTGGGCGGGGTCGAAGCAAATGTTGTGGTGGTGGTAGTCGAGCACCAAGGGGATGTTGAGCTCTTCGCAAACAGGCAAGAGGTCGTGGACGGTCCAGCCTACATCGTCGTTTTCGAGGACGAGGCGGTTCTTGCAGGATTGCGAGAGGCGGGCGTAATTCTTCTTGAAGCGCTCCAGCGTGGCGGCTTTGTCGCCGAACTGGCCGCCCATGTGAATGATCATTACTGCGTCGCGGTTTTGTTGCTTGGGCAGCTTGAGGAGGGAGAGCAGCTCGTCGTGGTATTCGAGGTCTCGAATGGCGGAATCAACGACTTCTTTGCGGGGAGAGCCGAGTTGGGTGAACTAGAAAATTGGTTAGGGAATGCGAGACAAAAAGGGAGCAACGCGAAAAGCTTACCTGTCCTGGGTGAGTGGTCAGCCGGTGACCAAGCTCAGCTGCTACCTTTCCTGCTTCAGCAAGCACCTCGGATGCGAAAGGCGCCAGTTTGTATCCATGCTCTGGATGACTGGCAAACGGGAACATCTCGGAGCTGAGTCGAAACAACTTGATGTTGTACTTGTCGTTCCAACGTAGAATCTTGACAATGTCGCGGGCGTTGGCCAGGCCGAGCTCCTGGACAAACTTGTGTCCTAGTTCATGCCGTGGTTTCTTGGACTTGTCGGGCTTGTTCTTCAAGTGATGCTCCGGCTCTTCCTCGTATTGAAGTGGATATCTATGGTCGATGATGGATGCCATGCGGCAGGTCCTGGAGCAGAAGATGGGGGGCTTTGCGCTGCGCAAGTAGGTGTTGAGACACGCCTGTATTCTGTCAGATATTATCACTCGGTCTGCGACGATGTACTAACATATCCAAGCCGACCCTTCCATGGTAATGGCAGGTAGCTGCTGTTGACAGGCGGTGCCCGGGCAGCGCCTCGTTCGGGCGCGTCCAGCGACTCATCTGGTTCGACAATTTTGGTCGCGACCGTCTCCAGCTTCTGAGGACCACCGACGCCGACTTTAGTCTCGCCCTCGTCGTCGTTCAAATGGGCTTTGAGCATCGGTTTGTGGACCTCGCGCTTCGCATCGTTGATGGGTCTGGGATGGTAGGGCGCATTTGGGCGGCTGACAGCTGAGGGCACGGGGATGCCATCCTCTTCGAGTTGCTTCTTCTGCCTCTTGGTCGCCCGCTGTAGTCGTCTTTCCATCCTAGCTAGACCTTCTATGGCGAGCTTCACACCGTCCTCTTGTTCCTTGTCGTTCGGCAGTCCTTGGCCGGCGTCATCTGTACCCTTCATGCGCCCAAATACTTCATTGCGTCTTGCAATGTTCCGGTTCCTTTCGCTGGTGGGCTGCAGAAGATTACGACCTGACCGCCGAAGATTGCGTGCGGGTGACGGTGCGCCCGAGTCCAGGGTTGAGCTGAAGGTGGAACTTTCGCCCTGTTGCGTGTCCAAGGACGCCGCTTTGGCTTTACGGGGAGCCATGGCGATGATGGGTGTGGTTGACCTGCGTCGGGTTGTGCAGGTACTGTTTGTTGTAAGCACGGCAGGATGCAGTGACCGCGTGATGTGTACAAGGCCGCCTGTAAGGGAGCTTTGTAGGTGTGATGTCGCTTTGATAATCGGAAGTCCTGATTGGATGCTGCTGGCAATGTTCATAAACCTAGGTACTGCCTCGGGGGAAGCAGGTTGTCAATGACTGCTTTGGATGAAAGTGGTTGTTTATGTGTAAAAAAAAATTGCTGGACAAGATGTATGAAGGGTAAGTGTTTGAAGATGGCCTGTTTGCAGGGAGGTGCTCGAGAGGAATATATCTATCTACTAAGGTCGCAGAAGGGACGGGGAGGTGACGGAAGGCCAAAGCGTCATAGCATGTCGATCCGAATGCTCGGGTTTAGCCGTAGCCCATCTCTTATCAGAAATCGTGAGGCGAAGCAGCACTTCACCGCCAAACAGGCCGAAGTCACAGAGGAATGACAGGAATTGCCAGCAGCGTGGTCATATGCGGGAACTGACTCTTCGTGTCTCAGGCGCCGGAAGATTGGCCCATGCTCCTGTTTGGTATGAGCAAAGAGGCAAAAGGGGACAAAAGAAGGAGGTTAGGGGGCTGCTAGTGTGAACCGTATAAATAATCCGTTTTGTTTATATCTTCATTCCTCCTTGTAAGTGGCTGCATAAGCACGGATGAACCGTTTGAGTCATGAGAGGAAGCAAGGGAAACAGAAGCATAAAAAGCAAAGAAATGCCGTTATTCCCACTTGGCCATTTCAGAGATTGCAGATGAAAGGAGAGTTCGCCGTACGTCTGTGCGATGTGTTCGGAAACAAACCGGGCTGGCGATCGAGATACAAGAGAGGCGATCAAACATGGAATGGAAGACTTGCGCCGAAATCAGAACTGTGAAAAAAGCGGAACCCTCATCAGCGTGCACGGATGAGTCAATGATCAAGCCGGAAAATCGAAGGTCAAGGGAGAGAGAGAGAGGGGGGGGAAAGTGGAAAGCGGAAGAACATAAAAGTGAAAACTGAACATGCTGGACTTTCCGATACGAACGTGGGGTTCCCTTTTCTGTATCAAGAGCCTCAAAGTGATGTCCGGAATTGCATGATGCCAAATGCTGCCCTCACACCTTTCCCCAACGCGTCAAAGATGGCCTTTGACGTTTTGGACGTTGTGCAGTCGAGTTGGATCGAGATCAGCCACCTCACCATCGCATCAAATCCGATGAAGTCATAGCGGAGCATTTGGCCCTGCCAACCAGCCCCCCACAGTGGTAGCCAAACCCCTTTCGGTCAATCGTTTTAGGGCTCTGCGGCTTCAGGCCATTAACAGATATATTGGCCCGTGCACGGAGCAGCTGTTCCGCCCGCACCTGAACTTCCGCAAACTACGTCGAAATCGAGAGTCGTTTGCCGAGAGAAGCATCGATGACGACCAAGAAGCATCCGAACGGCACAGCACATCCTTCTCCATTCCTCCATTGGACCATGACAAGACGTGTTACGGAACCTTTGTCAGCCGCCGACAATTACCCCAAACGGATAACAGTCCTGGTACAAAAGCCACTTTGTCCTGTCACTCCGGTGGGACTTTGTGTACCGCTGGTACCACGCGGCTGAAGATCGCCAGGCACATCCCGCGCTGCCCCAGCCCGTTGTTCCGGGATTCTGATCGTTAGGTAGCAATGTCAATTCAAAACCTGGCTAATGTGTCTCTTTCATCATTGATCTTGACATTTGTCGGTTGTTGAGCGGCCGTCTTTCAACCTTTGCTGTCGTTGCGGCCTTTGCACCACTAGAGGTACCTGATCCTTCATCTGATGTACACCAATTTGGGACCTTCACTACAACGTCTGCCGCAGAGCATATACGCCAAAGGCATTTTCTTGACTGCCCTAAGGCATCTTTTGCAAGGTACCAACCATGGGTTACGTTGGTTCGATGCTCAACGGTCATGTTCCTTTGCATGTCGCGGAACCTACGGAGGTTAATCAGCCAAGAATGGAACGACATGCCTCCTTTGACCTTGTGTTCGGCTGTGCCTTTACTCCATGCCCCTTGTGATTTCTTGCCCATCGCCAATAAATGCTTGCTCCGGCCTCCGGGCATTCTCATATCACGTCGCGCCTCGTGCTAGCGGCGGTGGATAAGGTATCTGCTGGTTGTAGGTACCCACCGAGGTCAAGTGCCCGAGACTATATACTTGAGACGGACATCCACACTTCTTTGTGTGTGCTGAGTATATATCCAGTCATCCCCCCTCATCTTCCTTCTGTGCCTTATAAGTGCATTTTTCGGTCAGACGCGGAGTTGGTCATACATGATTTATACGCCGCTCTTGGGATTCCTATAAGGTGCACTGCTCTACCACTCCTCCAGTGGCACAAGGCTGCCTGGCAGTTAGAGCTTTATCGAGAAGCGGTTGTGACTTTTGGTTATTTATCGGACAGTCCGCTGTGATATTCAAGATGGCTTGGGACTTTCCGTTGTTGCAAATCTCAACAAAACGTTTGTGAGAGATGATACGATGCGGCTATCGAGCGTCCTCTTCTTTTCCGGCATCGTCCTATGCCGAGCAACTGCTGTTCAGACGAGGAATGAGACCTCCGTCCTCGCAGCCTATCCGAGCTGTGCTGTATGTATCTCTAAAATCATCTGAAGCAAATCATAAAACGCTGAGACCAAACCTACAAGCAAAACTGCATCCAAGACTACATTTTCCAGGACCCCTGTCCCGATTCCAACAATGACTGGGCATGCCTCTGTTCGAACCACGCAAACCACACCTGCTCCTCGTCCTTAAGCCACTGTCTCTCGCAATCATGTTCCATCCGACAGACCCTTGGTAAGTAGGCCCTTCAGCTTCAGCTTCACCTTCACCTTCACCTACCATGCCCCTTGTGCTCCCTCATCCTAAACCTTCAAGAGCTAACAACCACCTCACAAAGCAACACAAAACATCACAACCCTCAACTGCAGCCTCCCAACCCTTGACCGCTCCTCCTCCCTCTTCAACGAAAACCTCGCCCTCCTAATCGCCACCCTCCTCCTCACCACCCTCCGAACCTTATACAAAATCTTCATCCCCCATACCTCGAGCTCCCAGTCCCAACCAACCACCAACCACATTCCCTCCCACGTGCACAGTTCCTGGTTTTCCCGCCCACCTTCTCAATACCTCTCCATACATGTATCCCAACGTCTACACGCAGATGACTACGCCCTCATCTCCATAACCGCTCTCGGCCTACCCAATCTCCTACTAGCCATCCTCGCTCTTCACCCGCTTGGCGTGGGAAAGGATGCATGGACGCTGCCGGTTGAAAATATCGCCAAGGCGGTGCGGTACGGGTACGTAATGGGTATTATCTACTTTTTACAAGTTGCCCTGACAAAAGTGGTATTCCTGTTATTTTACCTCCGGATATTCCCCGGAAAGGAAGTAAGAATGGCGGTATGGGCTACCATTTTGACTTGTGTCTTGTTTGGGCTGGGAAGTGCGGTGGCGGGAGTCTTGCAGTGTAGTCCCGTGAGGTGGTGGTTTGAGGGGTGGGATTATCGGGAGGGGATACCGGGGGGAGATGCGACTTGGGAAGGATGGATAGAAGATGGGGGAGGACGTGGAAGGAGACATGGACCGGGGAAGTGCATTAATAGGAAGGATTTCCATGTTGCTGCGGCGGCGATTAGTATTGCTATTGATGTCTGGATGTTGGCTATTCCGCTGTGGTGTATTAGGGGATTGAGGATGGGAGTGTGGAAGAAGATGGGCGTGGCGGGGATGTTTGGCATCGGAATGCTGTGGGTTGCTCTCAACTTCTTTTCCCCTTGCTTTGGCTGTCATCGCCATGTACGATGCTCTTTGCTGACATAGAAGTGGACAGGGTCACGATCTTCAGTTGCATCCGACTGCGTTATCTGACTGTTTTCACGGAAACGCCAAACCCGACGCAAGCATTGTTCGACATCGATCGGTGGTCTACTCTGGAAGCGGCGTCGAGTATCTTCTGCGCCTGTATGCCGACCCTGAGGCAGATGGTGGTTAGCGTTGTAGGCCTTGGGAGGAAGAGGTTCGGCAAGAGGCGGCCGTCCAGTGGCGTCAGTGGAAAGTTCGGAAGTTCAGGTTCGAGTACGGTTGCTCTGGGTATCAACTCTCGATATTCTCGCTCTACAGAGGCTCGCCACTCGGACACTTCCCAAGAGAAACTTTCCGACACAGAACAACCCAACCACGGCCTTTTCGAAGACACAACTGGGAACCAAGGTGTCCGCAGCGGCAACAGCAGCATTATGTACACGGTTGAATACAGCGTTGAAGTTGACAATACCGCCGCCAGCCAGATTATCCCACATTCTGGACGGCTGAGCCCCCCGCCGTACACGTATGGCAACGGCCCCCAGGATCTTCCAGGAGTCAACGATGGCTGTGAGAACTATCGAGCTTGTGTGGTGTCGCGGAACTTGGGCAGGATTGGTGGAGTAGGAGGATCGCTGAGGAGGCAGAGCAGGAGTCCGAGGTTGAGGGTTGCCGCCTGAACTTCCTGCTTTGCGTCTCCTGGGAAGACACGATGACTTTCCGTCGAGGAAGAAGTTAGCTCGGTTTCATTGTCTTGGTCCTGTCACTAAGGCTTCAACCCGCTTTGGAGGCTGGTCAATCTAGCCTCGCCATGTGGTTTTTCTAGTTCAGGGCAAGTTGGAGCAGCGGGAAAAGGTTTCCAACAGTGTCGATTGGCAGATCTTGGGCAATCCGAGCACAGTTACTTACTTGGGCTCCCTTTGTTGAATGTCCTTGACAATCAGCTTTCTCTGGTGAATGTTGCTGTTGGAGGCCGGGCATCAAGAATGCCCACGGATCTGCCCTGGTGCAGGAGGTAGTTCAGGAGCTCATCGAGTGTGTCGATAACGACCTGCTCGCGGAGCTTCGCCGCAGTCTCGTTCTTCGGGTCGAAGAACTTTGCTGACTGATCGAGTAACGGCGACCGGGCGCCTTGACAATACCGGGGGGAGGGTGGGAGGCAGTAGAAGGCTGCGGCCAGTACTTGGCAACGGGGAAGATATGGTCTGCCTGTGGGAGGAGATTGGAGCTGGCGATGTTCGGCTTGGAGGTAGTATGGATTGGGAGTTTGGAGATCAGCGCTTGCGCAGGTTCAAGACCACCGACGCATTTCCTTACTGTAATCGCGGGAGATGGAGTAGCGAGATGGTGTGTAGATTTGTCTGGTAAACCTCTGAATCATGATTGTTGGGCCATTGCTGGTGTTGGTGATAGTGATTTCTGTCACTCCTGTGGGCGAGGGCTAACCTGGGCCACCAGATTGCACAAGACAAATCTGAGTTGGAGCTGACCGGTGTACTGTTGCGTGCGGAAGGCGCGCCCCATTCAGTTTTTACCGCCGGTTGTCCCCGTCCGACGCGGCTTTGCAAGCACACCCTTCTTCCTTTCACCAGACCAACCAATCCTCCATTGGATCCTTTGACTTGCTCCTTGTCTTCTCTCGCAACTTGCACTACTGGTGGTCCTCCTGGAGGTTCAAGATCGTGCCCCAGAGAATGCCGACTGGTGATTGTAGCCTTGTTCTGCCTTAACATTCTCTCACATTGACCGCCCCACGGCAAGGTCAACATCAGTGACATGCATTTCACACACACAAAGAGGATCCGTTGGATTCATCCCACACTAATCATTGTACCTGCCTCGTCTTCTCTTGCCATTGCTCGGATGGCCGCCTGTGTTCGATGGTCCGATGGTCCAGGCGACTCATCTGACGTCTGGCAATTTCAGGAACAGCTCGTCCCTTCTGTCTTGGGCAGTGGGAGAACTCTTGCTCCCTGTGGGGCGCGGCTCAACTGTGGTCATCAAGGTGGTCGATCTTTTTCCTTGGTCAAGTTGGGAAAGGCCGGCTCCACGCAAATCTTCGATTCTGTTGCCAGGAAGGTGCCCCAAGTCACCAAGTACACTCTACAAGGACTCCGTTGCTCAACTCGTGCCTCCAGTCAGCGACCCTCCCTTCTGATAAGCTTTGTAGCGTTGGCTATACCTATATAGTCTTTCAATTGGCGTCGAACATGAATCCACGTCCATGACATGATACTGCGGCCTCTGGTATACCATCTTGCCTGGAGAAGCAGTCTTGGGCGGTTCTACATATGGCATCATTCTGTTGCCAACAACGGCAGCAAACTCGTCGAGTCTGATCTGTGTACCTCTTGCCATTCTGTCGCCTTTGCGATGAGTCTTTCACGCTCCTTCCCTTTCACAGCCATCGATACCTGCTTGGTGGTGGTGTCATCGAGATCGATCGACGGTGGTTGTCTTGCCCCTCATGTACCATCCAAGCGACAGCCGTTTGCAACGTGCCTTCCCCCGGGGTGAAGGCTGCACGTCTAGATCTTTCTCAGATGATCTACTCTTCATCAGACGACGCCGGTGACGGAGGAGTTTTCGGTCACTGCCAAACTCCTTCCCGCCCTTCTTCACAGCAGTAATCTCCGCATGCAACCGATCGAAGGTCACGTCCCTGTTCTCAAGGAAGGCATTCCTTTGGTCAAGCTCGTCCTTCTTCCGGCGGTTCTGCCAAATCCTCGTCGTTAGAACAGTCCCCGTCGGTCCCAAGACAGAGCCAGGTAACAACATCCACACAGTAACAGGATGAGATTCTGTCTGAACGCTTGACAGCTTTGAAAGAATCATCCCAAGTGCTTCGGTCCCGAAGATCGCCTTGGTAGCCGGTTGATCCAGTGTTTCCAACAAGTGTGGGCTCGACAACTGCGGTTCCTGTCACCAAAAGCTCGAAGTGTCTGGAGCAGACTGTCCGTGAGCAGATATCGTACCTTCCTCCAGAGCGTTCTTTCCTTCGAAATTTGCATGCGTGACCGGTCTGCCGAGTTGGGATGAAACACCCGCAATTTTCTCTGCAGGTTGACCCATGGATTCCATTGTATTCCTGATCACAATAGATTTGCTCGAGCACTTGCCCGTCCCGCCACGAGAAAGATAAAAGACCCTCTTCCTCCTCGTCTCGTTTCTTTCCTCTCCTCCTCTTCTTCTTCACCCTTGCAGCCAAGTTCGACCGTACCAGAACATCAGCAGCAGCAGCAGCAGCGACAGCAAAGACTCTCGTCCACAAAGTGAGCACCACTCCCTTTCACTCTTCCTCCAGTTTCTGGTTCTTGTTTCCTTCAGGAAACTTCCTGCCAGACTTTCGGAAAGGCTTTTCTAACAACATGACAGTCTCTTGATCTTGATCGAGACCAGAGCACCAGCGACTGCGCCGCGAGTCCAAACACAAGAAGGTACGCATATCGTCGTCTTCTCCCTGCCTTCACACTTCCCCATGACGCCTTCTCACACGTTTCACTTTCCTCGAAACCACGTCGCTAACTCCCTGCTTGCATTTCTAGTGCCTCACGCCCGCCGTTGCTTTCTCTCCGCACCTTATACCCAACCCAAGCCCCGTCGCCCGCTGCCCTCGACCCCAAGAGAGGACGCCGCCAGGATGTGCACCCAGACCGTCCTAACCACCCACCTCTGCAAAAAATGCAGCTCCCCCATGTCCAACACGACCACCACCACCACCACCACCACCACCATTCCGTGTGAGGGTGGCGGCGGCGGCAGCGGCGGCGGCGGCACCGGCACCAGCAGCAGCAGCAGCAACAGCAGCATCAAGCGCTGCCCAGGCAACTGCCCCGGCGCGGGCAAGACCATCACCAAGGCCACCAAGAGCGGCAAAATCTGCGGGGCATGCACCCTGGAGGATGTCCGGATCTACGCAGGGTCTTTTTAGGCCGGGTGGGATTCGGGGGGGCCTCCGAGGGGGGGAGGGGGGTGGGGGATCCGGGCTGGTTGGGCCGACCAGGGGTTAACAATGACAATGAATTGAAATGCCTTTGATGATCTGACAAGACCTGAACCTGACGCGTGAACTTTCCCTTTGACATATCGTGATGTTTGCGATGAAAGATGATACAATCCCGATGTGATATTGATCAAGACTGAAAGGACTTTGGATGGAATGATGAGATCGAGAACCACTCTCTTGCCAGATGCTCTGCGCGCCTTCCCTGTCATTCAACGTGATATCATGAAGTGGGTGAAGATGAGGTATCCATCTTCTGTGTGCCGGCAATGGGAGTCCTTGGTGAGAACAAAGCCGAGTTGATGGATAATTCCTCGATATCATGTTCTCAGTCTTCTCTCAACACCTCATCACCAATTTACTACTCCATCAAAGCAAGTATCAGCCAAGCTGTGAAAGCCAGTGGACTGTAGGTGTTGGAAAGACGCTCGCCTCCCTTATGGTCAAACCGCCTCCTTCAACACCATCATCACCCGCCGTGGAGACAAAGGCAAGGCCAAGACCAAGGCCAAATAAACCACCATCTCCGCTCCAGCTGCCTCTTCAACCCTGCGTATGCCGGCTGCAGGAGGCGACCTCAGCCTTTCCCAACTATTCGCGGTCTACTACCAACACCAACACAACCACGTTGACGTGTGGGCAAGTTGTCAGGGCACCAGGTGCATGGGCAAGGGCAAAGGCAAGGAGGAAGGGGCCTTAAAGAGTCAAAACCACACCACACCGATCACTTTCCCTGGATACCCTTCTGCGCGCACTCGACATAAACCAACCCACAAAGCAGTCACACTCTGACATAGGGCTTCGATTCCTCTGCCTGGATATTCTCCAGCACCGAGAGCCGGGCAAATGACGGAAGAAAATCATAGGAAAGTCCAAGGCCAGCGGGAGCAGGCCAATTCCGAGGCAAACCTCTATGCAACAGAGGCGCGCTCGACGCCGACAGCTAAGCCAAGCAAGCAGTGGTCCAAACAAACATACCTTAACCTCACGAGCACTGATATTGACCAACCAACCACCGAGACGGGAAACTTGGGAAGCCAACTCGTTCCATCACGTCTGCAACACGGGCTCACTAGGCCATCGTCGACAGCTAAGCCAAGCCGTGATGTCAACAAGCGCACCCGCGAGGTATCCGACGGCATGGCGCTGGCCCCATGTGCCAACTGAGAACGACCCGGACGAGGCACGAGTGGGAAGGAAATGGATCAGAATCTTGCAATCAGCAGCAGCCCAACGGGGGCCGCCAAGTGCTCCCTCGTCTAAAAGCCTGGCTAAGAGAAAGAGGAAGGGCAAGGGCAAGAGCCCAGCCAAAACCCCAGCTAAAAGGAAGAGAAGGAAGCTCGTCCCGAGCTTGATGCAGGTGATGATGCAGGGAGCAGTACCACGAAGTCTAGGGGTACCTATGGACGCTTCATCGAGAGGAATGTCGAACGTCATTCTGGTGACAGCAACTGGTAGACTAGGTAGGTACCTGGTTGGCTGCGAGTTCCCATGGCAGCAATCAACCTTAGGTAGATAATCTTCGCTTTTCTTCGACAAAGCCCCGTCCAGTTGGCATCGCTTGTGTCTGTTGACCATGGTAAGGTCTAGATGAGGTCGCAATAAAAGTAAAAGGGTCGACGGGAAGCAAATGTAGACGTTGAGAAGAAGATGATTAAATATAGGGTCAACAAAACGTAGTCAGTCTCCAAAGCCAGACACAAATACAAAGAGAAGCAAAGATACACCGAAGCCAAGTTCTAAGTCCTGCGTTGAATCCGATAGCGCCCCCTTTGGTAGCGGTACCAGAAAAGCCTACCAGTCTGGTAGCAGGCACTCACTGGGCTGAAAGGCTGTTGGCAAGCGACCTCCGATGCCTCACCTTGCTGGGGAAGGATGCCGGTCCTTGAGGCACAACCGCGGATGAGATTCTGCGAGAAACATAGGTACCTCTTCAGTATTTGGGTAGAGCCAGGAGAAAGATGGGGAAACGGGTGTGGGAGTTGGTGAGACGTTGGCTATTATCGTTCTCCCTGTCATGGCAAGGGTGCCGGCTGTTGTAATCAGAATAATCGCTTGAGGGCACATCAAAGACGCGGTGGCATGTCTGTTTGAATAAGAGATGTCTTGAACCAAGTGCGTGTGAGCGCATAACGTTTGGATGAGTGGAAAGATAAACAGATTCAAGAGATGGCCGATGAAGTGAGAACGTGGCTCTCAAGGTCATGCCACAAGTGAAATGCCAAAGAGAAAAGACGGAAATCCGAGCGCGTTCTCGGAGGGGACTGTTTTAAGAAATGCCCCGGTATGCCTGCCAGGGACACAAAAAGACAACTTCGCTCATGTTTGGTGGACCATTCTTGGATGGAAATGGATGCTTTGAAGCCCGGCTCGCGAGGATGGATGAGATGTCGTTGAAATGGCGGCTCCGGGTGTCCTGCAGGGGTAGTGTTGCCCCGGATTTTATAGTGGATCAGAAGAAGCGCGGGGGCCTCTGGAGCCTTGGTGTCTTGGCGGCCGTATTTCCCGGTCGCGCCCGGTGCACGCAGCCTCCGTCGCGAACCCCATTTTCAACCATCAAGATCGCCCATCATCATCCACATCCATCTTTCTCCGGCGGACATCAAACATGAACTGAGAGTATTCCACGCCATTTCCCGACTTACACATCACACAACCAACGACAGAAAGGCAGATTTCTTGATCGACACGTGCTTATCATCATTCGCGATAGCAAGGGAGAGGGGAGCAAAGGAGCACGGACACTCACTCACTCGCGGAACTGACCGCCGGACGAAACACGACACCAGGGCACCATCACAGCCGAGGATCAAGGAAAACCACAGCCGTTGACTCACCGGACACTATCGATCCGATGGCCATCATCAACACCAGCTAACATCGGCTCACTCTCTCGCCTTTTTCACATAAAAGACGCATCACGGGATTGACAAGCACCCCTCACGCGCCCCGCCAACCTGGGCGCTTCTCACGCTCAGAATGAACATGAGCTCACCACCAACCCCCGGATCCGGCCACGGGTATGGCACCGAAGGGATTGGTAGATCCGGCTCACGTCCCGAGAAACGCACTTGTATCACCTGCCGCGCCCGCAAGGTCAAATGTGATGGCCGACCAGACAAGTGCACCAATTGCGAGCGACTAGGCTTCACCTGCTCCTACGACCCCAACACCATCGTCACCACAACCATCGACGCTGGCCTTGGAGCTAGTCACCCAATCCCCTCCCATGAACCCTTCTCTGTTGACAGGCTGGTCCCAACAGAGACAGAGAGCAACGTGTCAACCAGCACCGCGACGACGACAGCACCAGTAGTAGGACTAAGGAGGATCCGAGCCCGCCAGGCATGTCAGAGTTGTCACGTCAAGAAAGCAAAGTGTTCTGGTATCATCAACAAACCTGGGCCAGGCGGAAGTGGAAGCGGGGGATATCGAGGCTGCGAACGATGCCGGGCTCTAGGAATCGCATGTGTACTTAGGAAGGGCAAGCGAGGGTTGGCTCTACCAGGGATGAACAACAACAACAACAACAACAACTCCCTCGGCGACGCCAGCGAGATGGTTCTTGATGATGGGGGAAATGGCATGCATCTTGACGATCCCCGCGACTTGGACGACGACATGAACCACAACGGCAGCATCACAGGCGGTCGAAGCACCGCCAGTCCCGCTCCAGTCTCCAGCAATAACAACCCAGGGCCATCCAACCGCGGCAGCATCGACCTCCCCCAACCCGACGACCCTATCGTCAAGCGCGCTTTTGACAATTACTTCCGCCATGTCCATCACGTGCCCATGTTCTCCTTCCTCCACCGGGCCTCTCTCATGGAACGTTACGACGCCGGTCTCCTCGACCGTGCTTTGCTACTAGCAATCGTCGGCATAGCCGCCTTACTAACCGACCTCGGTCCCTCCATCTCTGTTCCCGACCCCGAACTCTTCTCCAACCGCTGCATCGACGAGGCCGCCTCCATATGCACCTCCGAGCTCGAAAACCGCAGCATCACGCGTCTCGAAGCCCTAGTAATAGTCGTCAAGCATCACATCCTCTCCAAACGTTTCTCAGCAGCTTTCATGCTACACGCACTCACCTCGCGCTTCGCCAATGTTTTACGGTTAAACGTCGAAAACCCAGCCTTGTGCTTCCTAGCGCAGGAGTCTCGAAGAAGACTGATGTGGTCAATCTACATGATCGACGCTTGGTTCGCCAACGGCCAGACGGACCTTGCGCTATGGCCCGATCCGGAACGGCAGATTCGCGTGCAGTTACCCTGCAACGAGCGCAACTTCGATTTTGATCTACCCGAGGTAACCGAACCATTGCGACAACCACCTCCTTCACCATCGGGACAGCCGGTTCAGCTACCTGATGCTGTGGGCTTCACGGCGTTGCATATCCGTATGCACTGGTTGAGGACACGCATCCTGCAGCTTTCTTTGCGCGTCGTGGGCCCCAGTCCTGACCCGAACGAACTGATGCAATTACCGCTTAGATGTGCAGAGTTCAAAGCAGAACTGGATTCCTTCGAAGCAAGACTGCCGCCGTCGTTTAGATGGAGTGAGTCCAACCTCCGACTACGATCGTACTCTTCGAGATTAGGGATCTTCTTCATGACGCATGTCTGGTGGCGACAATGCCACTTGGACCTATACCGTCTCTTCCTGCCAGGACTGAAGGAAGCCTTGTCAGCACAAAGTCTGGCGCAGTTAGTTGGAAGCACGGTTGGAAGTCCCATTGCTCTGGGGAACTGGCAAGGTCAGCAGGGCCAAAACGGACAAAGGCAAGGCCTGCTAGAATGGACAAGACAAGAATGTTATAAACACGCTAGGGCTATGGCGGATATGTTTGCTCAAGTGCTGGCCCTGGGGGAGAGTAGTGTGCCGTTGGCGGATGTAGATTTGCCGGGGTGCGCGTTGCAGTGTGGAAGGGTGTTGTATCATTCTTTTCAGACTCGTGATGGTGGGGGAGGGTCGCCGGCGCCGTCGGCGGAGGGAGTCAGGGAAATGGTGAGCGTTTGTTTGAGGGTGGCGAGGTTGGCGTGTCAGGGGCCTGCTAGTAGGGCTATTGTGAGTTCTCTTCCCTTTCTCTATCTTCTCTTCTCCCTATCCGTTCTTGTCAATGTTATGCTAACAATCTTGCAGCAAACCGACATCGAAAAACTCCTAGCCGAAGGCCTCACAGTAAACCACCTCCAAGACCAGCCGGACCAACCCGACCAAAACCAAAACCGGACTCCCCGTCCCAACAACGACCTCTTGTCACCCGGACAGGCAGCCGCGGCCTTCTCCCCCGGCCCTCCATTCGTCGCCATGGCCGGTCCCATACCCTTAATCAACGATCCGCACGAACTCGGCCCTTCTCCTCAGAACTTATTACCAGGAATGCCTCCACCGCATGCCCAACATGCCCAGCAGCAAGCACCGCAAATGCTTCCACCCGTTTCCTCTGGCCCACCAATAGGCGCAGGACAAGGCGTAGGAGGAAACCTAGGACCAGGACCAGGACCAGGACCAGGACAAGGCGTAAACACAGGAGTAAACCCAGGCGTGGCACCATCCCAAGCAAGCCAAATCACCACGGGCAGCAACGCTTTTGAAGAGATTCTTAATGTTAACGGGATCAACTTCGGTTTTGGTAGTGGTCCAGGGACAGGGACTGGAGCCGATTTCTTTGCTCCGGAGGCGTGGGGGCTGGGATTAAGTCCGTTTCCTATGGGTTAAGTGAGTGGCAGGGTCAAGGACAGCAACAGTATCATGGGGATCATGGTTGAGAGATGAGAAGGTGAGAAGGTGAGGGGGGAATATGGGGGCTGGGGAATGAATGAATGAATGAATGAATGAATGAGTGCGATGAAGTCTCAGTGCCATGTGAAAAGCAAACAACAGAAGGGGGAACGATACGTCCATGTCGATGATGGTGAATTCAGTTGGGAATTGTCGGATGCCGAAAATGAACATGAAGCTGAAAGTGGTTTGGTGCACAGCTGTTGTAAGAAATAAGATATGACGAGAATAGACCCCCAAGTTACCTAATGAGATATCCCTTCCAAGAACTCCTTTCCAAGAGCCCCTTTCAAAAAACCCTGTTTTCCTGTTCTACGGATAAAGACAAGATCTGCGCAATCCCGTGGAAGGCAGCTGTCGTACGCAAGGGCCGTCAATGTGTGGAAGGCCATTCGTCTCCTTGGGGAGGAACCGCGCTTTAGATGTCATCACAGGTAACGACGATAGCGCCAGTTTGACCGTTGGCCGTTCCGTTCTCATGGAAAGCTCATGTAGCTACGGCAGGGGTTTGGAAGTGATTACAGGCTTGCACCCATGCAAGTGATTAGAGGTATACATACATGCATGGTCAGCCTTGTAGCGGAGGGCACGCTGCCGGTCGCACCGGTGGACGGGTACCTCACCCTCCAGAGCCGTGGACTTCACCCAACCTCACCATGGCCGGTCCATGCACCGTCTTCCATTCTCCAGCCAGGTGAGCGCGTCTTGATACACCCTTCTCTTTCACTAAATCTTCCTGTCGTGGTAGTGAATGATGATGAACTTCTATCTTTCTTTGACCTCTGGGAAACCGGGCCATACAGAAACCTCACGGTGACAGTCGCATCGGCATATTTCATTGATCACAGTACGTCTGTTTGTACGTCTATTCAGTCCAGTTACCTACCTATCTCTACACAGTACTCTTTTCTACCTCCATGCAAGTAATCAAACAGAAGGTACCAGCACCTATCATTGACCATGGATGATATACCATTCACCGCTGGCCGCTGGCGGCATCTTAATCCACCTTTCGGCCCCTATGATTTCCCCGCTCTTCATCAAAGTCCAGACCAGTGTCATTCATCATCGCCTAGGAGAGCAAAACACCTAAGATCCCGCTCATGCCAACCCCATGTTTTCCTGCCTGTATACTCCATCAAAGCCAGAAGTCAAAGGGAATCTTAGTATCGGAGAAAGAACATAGGAAACATCCTCCACAAAGCCGTTATATACGGCACTCCACAAATAAAATTTGAAGACATAACCTCTTACATGTCCACAAGTTTATCTCCCCGGGAAATATACTTTTGAAATAGTGTCTCACGGGGACGTATTGGGCTCAGAAACGCTTGCCTATCCTCCCAGGGGCCAGATCTGAGAACATCCATAACTTCCTTGCCTCCCGACCAACCCAAAAGAAAAATAAGGCTGTTGCGCCTTGTATGGACACGCACGCTAGAACACCAGTGTTTTTTTTTTTTTTTTTTTTTTTTTTGCCATAGGTCCATTCCTATTTGTAGTCCCGTGCAGTCCAAGACCCTTCATTCAACATGTCTTCTTTACTAGCGTCCCCTACCGTCACCTAAGCCAGACCAGCTTTCACCACCCGCTTCTTAGGATTGACGTCAACGCACGTAAGGTTACCAGGAATAGACTTCTCCGGATGGATATTCTTGATGAGGCACTGAGAGTCAGGAGGGATCTCCCACTCGCCATTCCAGTGGCCCTCGTATGCCTTGATTTCTTTGCATCCAACCAACTGCCACTTGACGCCAGAGCCAGCCAGGACCTTGCATCTCAAAATTTGGTTTCTGGAGGACTGAATGAGCTTGGTTTCCGTGCCCTTGAGTAAGAACACTTGGCCAGGGGTGCCCTCCGGGATGCAAAACGTTCCCGAGGACTTCTGCGATGAGGCTTTGTTGTTCCGTTGTTGCGGAGTGGCTTGGGGTTTGTTGCGGATAGCCAGACCGGTGAAGGCTGTTGTTGACGAAGATATAAAGGGAGATCTACTCGCAGATGCTCCCGATGTTGATGAAAGTGGCTTATTGGTAGCTTTGGCATTGGTCGATCCCGAATTTGCCGTCACGGCAGAGGCCGAGCTCCTGGGTGCCCTCTGGTTAGCGTTTCCATCAGTGCCTGTCCGACCCAGCACTACCATAACCTGCTCCTTGCTGGCCTTGTCGGATGTTTTGTCAATCCTGTAATATGCATTACAGCAAGTCTTGATCCCCAATCGCTTGCCAAGGGCCTGGGAGCTGAGAAGATGCCGGGGCAGAAAAACACACTTCGGAAAGGCGTATTTGACATTTACACGATTCCAGTGTTTATCATCCTCTCTTGAAGCAAGCTCTGCAGCAGCCTGTACAACGCTCTCATTTCGAATGCAACCCATCGTATTGCACGGACTACGGACAGCCTCGTCGCCGACAAGATACAGAATCAAAGATGTGTATGATTTGAGATCTAGCTCGTCGAAGGCACCCAACTGATACTTCCACGACAATGGAAGCTCTCGAATTCGAGGGAGTGCCAGGAGCTCGAGAATTGCCTCATCATTCGGAACGAGGATGTTGATTTTACTGAAACTCATGATGTAGTCCCATGCGGAAGAGCTTTCCGGTAGGGGTTGCTTTTGGACTGCGGATGAGTTAAAGCTTGCCAGTTGGGCATTGCTCTGCTTGCTCGTTGGGTTGTCGCTGGTCTGCTGGATCTTCTCAGTCCCATTTGTCTTGATGCCAGCAATCTCATCCATGTAACGGCTTCCGATAACCCCTCTGAGCCTGTGGCCCATACCCCGGTAGTAAGAATTGCAGCAAAAGTAACACTCCAATCGCTTTCCGATGCCCTCAGATGCAAAGAGATATTGAGGCAAGATAACACACCGTGGGAATGCGAAAAGGCAGCTTCGACATAGTCCCTTATCGTGATCAGGGTCGGCACAATTGATGGCACCAGGCCTTAGGTTGCAACCCATAGGTATACAAGGACTGGTTAAGGCGGCCTCTCCACCAAGATAAAGTATGACTGATGTAAGCTGATGAAGACTGAGGGTATCGAAGGCGTGAAGTCGTTGTTGCCAGTTGACAGGAAGATCCTGACGTTTGGACATTGTGAGTAGCTTGGTGATGGCGTCATCGCTAGGACGTGGCGTAGGAGTCCTGGCAAACTGGGTGATGTAGGTCCAGATATCCGATCCTTCAGGTCGCGAAGGTTGGTCCACGATCCTAGACCTTGCTTCAGGGACGTGGTGGTTTTCCGGTCCTTGTGTGCTCCCATCGCGGTTATCTACCGGCTCGACGGGGCCGTTGGACATCAGGGGGTCGTCCTGGAAGTGATCCTCTTCAGTGTCTGGGTCGTTGCCAGCCGAGCTTTGCGCCACCCTCTGTGCCTCGACTCTCTGAGGCCCCGAAGCCGCGGAGTCGCTCTCCCTTTGCAATTCGGCCAAGCTAGGCTCCACATCCTCCTCGTCGCTACTAATGTCGATAGCCTCGTGAATGGAATTGCCGGTGGGACAGCCCACAGATCCGGCGATAGTAGCAGCTTCGATACGAGGTGTAGCAATCGCTGGGGCGACGGAGGGTCTGGACGCAGAAGCTGTCGAAGGTCTCGGAGGAGAAGGGGCAGCCAGAGGAGGGGCGACAGGCGAAGGGACGACAGGAGCTGCAGCAGTCTCCGGTAGATTGGGCGCCCTGATATCTTTGACAGCCGTTGGGTTGATATAGGACTCCCAATCCTCCGGTGGCTGTCGAACATCAGTGCGTTTGCGCTCCTTGTCTGGCTCAAAGTATCCCCTCGTGACCACAATGGAGCGAAATCTGCCGTCTTTATCTGGAGTCTTCCGCTCGCCGATCGGCCAGAAGAAACCGCGGCGAAGTTCGTCGTATAGAAGCAATTTGCGATGGGCCCTCTGATTGGAAACAATGGTTAGCGCCTAGCGGACTATGCCTCAAACAAAGTTGAGGAGCGATGACGCATTCAACGGATGAAATAACATATGGGACAGAAGCCGGGGTGGGGAAGAGGGGAATGAGCGAAAATGTTCGTTGCGTACGTACCGAGAAGTGAAGTCCAAGCTGGGAGACCTGTGGGAAATCCTTCTTGCAGCCTGCTATAGGACACATCCATGGATCGACCTGGCGGAAATCGATTTGGTAGTTAGTCGGGAACAGGCAACCACCTCCCGATATAACCTTCGGGTGGCCGTCTGGACTCTCGACGTCAGCAGTGGAAACGATCATTGGGAAGATGGTGGAAGACACTTACACATTATTCCTTCCATTCGTTGTATCTCCTGTCGCCATTATGCGGGCCGGTCAGGATATCGGGGTCGGAGTTCTTGGGGACGGCGGTAACGGAAGGGCGGCTGGAAGCTGGTGCAGTGGCTGCTGTGGGAGCAGAGGTGGATGCAGACGTGCCATTACCGCCCTTCTTCTTCTTCGAACGCCCACCATCGTGCCCCTCCTCACGCTCTCGCTTCCTGTTCAGCAAGGATATTGTGCCGTTTGCGACCGCAGGGTGCGAGAGGTTGAGTGGGCAACGTAGTGGTTTTCAGGAAAGCGACTAACGGCTGGCAAACTGGTATGAATGTCGATGCGATGGATGTCAAATCGATGCTGTTTGGAGCAAAAGAAGCGACGTAAGTCCCAGCGAAGTGGAAGTGGCAGATTTCGAAGTATCAAGTCCAATGGTCTAAACTTGTTTCGGTCGGAAAGGAGAAAGTGCAAGCCGCAAACTGTCCAGAAAAAAAAGGAGGGCTCACTCGGTGGTCGGTATTGGAAACATTTGCGACTGGGAGAAGGAGTGGTCGTGGGTCCTGGCGGCCGGCACGGACCGGCAAGTTGACACCCGGTACCAGCAGTTGCCATGACATCGGGGTGCCCTTTCGCTCCTTAGACACCTGATCATGTTCGATTTCTTTCGTGTTGCTTCCGTATCTCAAGTCAAACCCAGTACCGCAGTACTTATCAGGCATCCGTGTTCCCTCCTCTTGATGACATGATGTGCATCTTCACTCAGAAAGCATCCATGTATCCAAAGGACATGAAGGAAAGTGCGTGAAGGGCATAATACATGGCACAAGAACTAAATGACAAAATGGGTAATACAAGGTGGGGAAGAGATAAGGCAGAACAGATATCAAAAAGATCAGAAAAAAAAGGACAAATAGAAAGGAAAAATAAGAACAACAAAATGGGAAAGACATGGTCCTAAGCGCGACGGGTATAATCTCAACAAATGAAATCTACAATATAAAATCTCCTACATATTTTACCAAACTTCATCCTCCTGCTCCCTCATCTGCGGGGAATCATTCCGTACTTTCCAACACAGGCTGAGACTTGATTTTAATAACAGCAACCTCTCCATCCACCGGAAAGAAGTTGCTGACCAAACACTGACTGTCCGGTTTTATTGTCCAAGTCTCTCCTCCATTTACCCTGCTCGTGGCACCCATGCCACCGGTTTTGATCATTTGGACCTTCATGCTTCCTGCCATGACTGTGCATTCCAGCGTATGCCTTCTGGATGCCTGCAAGAGCTGGACCTTCTCACCTGGGAAGCCGATGAACTGAGGGGACTTGTTGGCAGGGTCGAAAATTCCTTCCTCCTGCGAGACTCGTGAGACACTTTGCTGCTGAGTTGTGGAAGGAGCCGGGGATGTGTCTTGCATTGTAAGATTTGATAGAGAAGCTGCTGCAGACGATACTGGGGTAACTTTGGTCTTGCTAGTTGATGAGTGTCGTTCCTCCACGCCCAGGTCTTCTTTTCGATGTCTAGTCCCTCTTTCTGTCTTCTTCTCTTTGATTTTGTTTCTCACGCCCTGAAGCCAGCTATTAGCTCCCACGTCGGGATTAACTGGGGAACTTTCCCACCCGGACGTGTTCTCCGTGTGTCCCTTCACAGCGGATGGTGAAGTTGCTTGCCGTGCCGAGCTCCGGGGGGTTGTCGTATCCCGAACCATGGTGGCAGGCTGAAGAGGAGAGCATGTAGGTAGCGAGGCTTGGGACGGTGATGGGTGCACGGAATTGTTGCCAGCTTTGGTTGTCGATGTGGCACTATTGAGCCTGTTGCTTGAAATATTCGCGTTCAGTTGGGTGCCACTAGACTTGTTGGTAGAGGTGGTCTTCATGACATCCATGTCCGCTGTCTCTCGTGCCACCCCGGGACTGCCGCTCCCATTGGGAAGCGGGTTCTTCCAATGCGGTACTTTCTTCCACCTCCTGTAGTATTCATTGCAGCACGAACGATGATCTAATCGCTCAGTGATTGATGCTGAGTCGTCAAGGATATTTGGCAGGAAAATACACTTAGGAAAAGGGTACCGATGGTCGACATAGCTCCCGTAATAGAAGTTCATCTCCCAGAAGAGGTGTGCCTCTGGGTGAACTCTGCAATCCTCGCAGGGATTGCTTAATCCTTTGATTCCACTCGATATTTGGACGGCACTCGATCCTTCGACATCACTCGATTTTTCGACACCACCAAGATACAGGATCAGTCCGGTGAGGGTGTTAAGCTGGAACTCCTCAAATTTTGCAAGTCTTCTTTGCCACGTCCTCGGAAGGTCGCGGCGCTTTGGAAGTACGAGGAGCTCAACGATCGCCTTATCACCGGGAACCGTAATTTCGGTCTTGGTAAACGTCATCAGGTATCGCCAGATTGCTGACTTGTTGTGATCGGACATTTTATTATATTCGGCAGGAATGGACGGTTGCTTGGAGCCGGTGAGGCTCATTGGTAAAGCATCGGTATCTGTTTTTGGCTGTTGCGTGGCTTTCTTCCTGGAAGCAGGCAGGCCGGAGGGCGTAGATTGGAGGGCGCCTAGATCGTCATCTTCATCACTGCTAGATGTCGACGAGCTGTCGTCATGGTTCCGCTCAGCGGCTTCCTGCGCCCATCTCGCAAAAGTGGTCCTATGATGATGTGCAGCACCCAGCTCCCGAGGATTGATCACCTCAACCGTGGAAACGTGGCTGATTTTCGGAGTCCGGCTGGCAGTATCACTGGCCTTGGTCATGACTCTAGCTTGCGCCGGGACATGTGAAGCGCTGCTCCTGGCTGGAGTATTTTTTACGACGGGTTTAACATCCTCATCGCCACTGCGGATGTCAGTCACCCTGCGTGATGGTGATCTGGTGGCTTGAGCTGGCGTAATTGGTGCCAAAGCAGAGGAATTGGCAGCTTGAGAAGAAGTAGACGTGGGAGTGGCGGTAGCGGTAGCAGGACGGTTAGCCGCGGACGCGGCCGGGGCTTGTTGATCATTTTGTGTCCCTGGAGTGCCGAAGCCTCTCGCAACAACAATAGGACGCAACGTGCCGTCCACGTCAAGCTTGGTTCTGGATCCTATGACGTGAAAGCGGCCGTGCTCTGCGTCGTCGTAGAGTTTCGCACCCCGATGAGCTTTCTGTAAGGGACACTGATTAGCGGACGAGGGTCACCAATGGAAGGTAACAGTAACGATGACGATGACGACAAGGTCCCAAAGCAGCCAGCGCAGGGCGCAACCCAAGAAGAGAAGATGGGAGCAGTACTTACCGAGAAGTGACGTCCAAGGTTACTACACTGGTCGAAACGTGTCAGACAGCTGTAGACTGGACAGACCCACGGAGAGGGATATTTGATGTCGAGCTTGTAATTTGTCGGGAAGAGGGCGCCGCCTCCGGATAATGTGCTAATGAAGCCATTTCCTGTGTTCTTGGTGTGAGCGAGCCGCTTGGCAGAAAACGTGTACCAGAAAAGCAAGGAAGCCATTTATTACCTATGTCACCTTTGAATTCACTATATCTCCTCGATCCATCCGCGAGACTGTCCAGCGCTCGAGTGTAAGATTCTTCGCCAGAGGCTATATTTGAAGACGCAGCAGCTGCGCCCTGCGATCTCCTTTTGTGGGGTCGAACATCTTCTTGCCCTCCCTCGCCTGGGCGCTTTCTGCTTTTATCGAGAGGAGGCATTGTCGAAATGCCGAAACCAGCAAGAGGAATGCAAACCGCAATAGGTGGCGGAAGCAATGGTTGGGAATTAGCGAAGGAGGGAAGCAATGATGCAGGTTAGGTCGCGCTTGGAATCGTAGGGAGAAGCGGGTGGCGGGACTTGCGGCTTGGGTCTGGACCGCAAGAAAACTGAAGGTGACGACTTTCACAGGGAAAAGAGATGTTCGATGTTCCAAAGTTTCGCTGACTTCCCCTGAGGTGAGAGAAGTACTGCCCTGACGGCCGGCACGGGCTGGCAAGTTGAGAACGGGTGGGTCATCACCGGAATTGCAATTCGGGATGATGCAATCTGAGGACGAGTGAATGGAAGGGACTCGGAACTCGTATTCGATGTGCAAGTGATTAAGAATGATACGAACCGGCAGAAATAGGCATATATGCGAAGGAAATTTCAGATGTGCTTTCAACGAAACTGATGGGACAATCTGCTGGCAAGGAGCTCCGTGACAGAAGACTTCTTTCAACGCTCAAAATTGCAAGATGTGTGCAAGTTCGGCAAGATAGAAAGCCGACTTTGTGAGGATGCTTACCAAAGTTGTAACCCAGTGTTTCCGTCATTGCCATCCATGCTTAAGATCGACTTGATGCTCCCTTTATCGCACCAGTCGGAACTCCCTTGGAGACAACCCTGTTAACGACGGTGAAAGATCCTTTCCATGGTCACTCAGCTGTCATGGAGCCATGCGGATTAGATTTTTTCTTGCCGAAGCGGCGAAGATGCCTCTCCGGTTCATGGCATTACGTTCCACACCCTGACTTGCCCGTTTCCCTTCGCAAGCTCCTTGATGCAAAGAGCGAGAGTGCAAGATCCGGCAAGGCGAAGGGCAGCTCACATTTCGAGCAGGTAAGCCGAGATATTCGCCTCAGGGAGTGTCAGCGAAAACAAAAATGGAACAGAAAATAAGGTTGCAAGCATCATGTGAACTAAACACGATTCAAAGAGATCCTCTCGCGGTGGTAATATGCCACTAGGCTTCCGAAAAGACAAGGAATCGAGACCAGACGCCGGAAATGCAAAAGGGTATCTCGTTAAACAGGAAAACAAAGAGCAAGAAACAGAAAGAACCCTAACCTCCACTCGACCATTTTGGTTGACTTCAACATCCACTTTTCCCTTCTCATAGCAGCTTTGCTCCGTCCATTGCACAAGTGCCCGGTTTGTCCTTCTCTTTCTCCCATATTCTCAACTTTTCTATCCACTTCCAGGTTTCTTTTTTCGCAGCATGCTCGCACAACATTCGCCCATGCAGCCTCACCACAATGAAAACAACAACACAACCAAACAACAACATCAAGCATCCTCCATCAAAACCTCTCCCACCATCACCTCCTCCCCATGGGCCCAATACGCATTAACGCAACCTGCAAACTGGCCAAACCGCTCCCTCATCGCCCTCGCGGCCTCACTATCCCCTGTCAAGTCCTCCACTCTGATAGCCTTGCACTTGGGAAACGCCATCTCTCGATGAATGGTTGTGCTTCCCAGGTTGAACGCCTTGTTAACCTCATTAAACCTGACACGAGGGAGTTTTCCCACCAGACAGTGCGGCGAGCCACAGGGTGTCGTCGATTCGCGGCGGGAGAGGTAGGCGGCTAGAGAGCTTAGGTCTTTCAGGGACAGGGGGCCTGACGAGTCGGGCTGGTTGTTCTCATTGTTCTCGTTGTTGTTGTTGTCGTTGTTGTTGTTGTTGGTATTGATGGCATTGATGGCATTTAAAGCTCCAGCTTCCGCAAGGCCAGATCGCGTGATATTTGAAGGCGGGTAAAACGAGGGAATGGGCGGTGGGGGAGAGGGAGTAGGCGAGGGAGAGGGTGAGAATGCGGAGTCGGTGCGGAGTCGGTGCTTCCAACACTTGGGAAGGGCACTGACGCGCGGTCGAGAGAGGAGTGTCATCAGAGCGCTGTCGAGCGGGAGAGGCAGTTTTTTCCGGGGTGAAGGTGTTTATGTAATCCCAAATTGATGGGTTATGCGGCTTGGTAAAGTCCGAGGCCCTATTACTGTTGTTCCCGATGTTGGTGCCGCCGTTATTCCGTTGGTTGCCGTTATTGCCACGGTTGTTGCCTGCTGCGGCCGGAAGCTCGCGAAGAGGAAGAGGAGGAGGTTGCGGGCGGCGGATTGGCGAGGATGCGGCGTCTCTGACCGGAGCACCAGGGAGAGGAAGCTGTGGGAACGGCTGCACAATCGCTGGAGCGGAAGCTTGACGACCGGCTCGGCGGGCTGCCAGGGGTGGACGCGGACCGCGGCGGCGCGGGGAAACATAGCCGACTTGAGCGGCGGGTGCAGCGGCAGGCTGAAGCGCGGAATTCGGCTGGTGTGCAGGTTGACCGGCAGGCAAGGGAGCTAGTGCAGCTGGGGGCTGGACGACATGAGCGGGCGCAGCTTGTTGGACCGGGACTTGCTGAACTTGCTGAGCTTGCTGCACCGCTTGCCATCCAGGCTGAGGCGCACGCTTGACGACAACGGCCGCCCACTTGCGCCGTCGATCGCGGTACTCCTTGTCCGTGGGAACTCTCTTCTTGTCAAAGACGGTGAAGGTCCCATTCCGTTGGTCGAACAGGAGGGCTTTTCGATGCTTCGCCTGAAATGACTTGTTAGACCTCTCTTTGGACTGGTGAACCCGAGCCATGGGCGTTAAATGGGTATGGGGAATAGAGCACATACCCGAAAGTGGCTGCCCACTTGATGTAGATGTTCGCATGCTATGCGACAACCCATTATCGGGCATCTAAATGGTTTTGCCTGTTGCCAATTGGGCTGGTAGCCCTCCGGAAAAAGGCCTCCGTTGCCAGGGTACCTGACCGTCTCGCCGTGCTCTATGTGTGATTAATGTTAGTAACGATGTGATGGTACGAAGGATATGAGAATGACTTGCTGTCCAAACCGCACCACTCATCGTAACGACGCATCTCCGACCTCAAGGTCTTGTAGCCACCTCGCTCTTGCTGACTGATGAGCCAGGGCTCCTGCGACGGGCCGCCGTATTCCGATGCGGAAGAGTCAGACTCGGATGAGGACTCGCGCTCGCGCCGACGACGGGGCATGGTCGATGTTTAGGTGTGAAAATGGCGATAGAAAAAGGCGAATTAGGGGCAACGTAGCCAGGAATGAGCAATTGGGTGCTCCAATGGTGCAATTGACGGTTGTACGGTGTTGTGTTGTTGACCGAGGAAGGAAAAGAAGGAGAGAGCACTTGCGACAACACCGGGAGAAAAAATAGTTGTGTGCATTTTTGCACCGGAAGGCGGGATGTGAAATCGTTCACTTGGGATGAAAGCATCCCACCGCGAACTAGCTGTGGCTGGAGATGGCCGTGTCGGTGGGCATTAGGGTTTCCCAGCCCATGGGAATGGGATGAAAGGCATGGAAGATCTCGTTCTCGCCTGGGATGCTGACAATCGTCATTATGAAGCTGCGGGTGTGGGGGAAATTGTCGAAACCGACATGAGCCGCCATAATCTTGTGGTTTTCGACGAGAGAGCGTCAAAGATGAAGTAGAGCGTCTTGAGTTGATGACCCGGAGAAAACAGCAAGGGCTGCTTTTCGGTCATAGAACGCCAGAGTTCCGCTGCTGTGGGCGACAGTGACGTTAAACATAACGGAGCAACATAACAAGGAAGCAGATGATAGACGCGAAGAAAGGGAGCGAAAGAAGGCAGATGGCCACCTGGGCATATCAGCATCGAGTGTCGCCATGGCCTCCCGAAGGACCTGTCTTCCCCGATAAAGGAATCGGCCGATCTCGCAACTGAGTTATGACAAAGCAACCCCAGGAAACGTACCCAACAATTGATTGACCACCACATCTTTCACACGCTTTAAGAAAACACAGAAAAGCAAGCAGGAAGAGAATAAAGGCAGCAAAAACAGCCGGTCGAGCCTTTTATAACCAAGTGTCGGCAAGGTCTTTCCCTCCCAAGCAAACAAACGCTCCTGATGAAGGACAGTACTCGTGTCGCGTAGCCAGCGGACAAAACTTTGAACATCGCAACAAACGGAGTTGCCGACGAGACATGTTCTGGCCTTTGAGTCGTGCACTTGCAGCCGATTTCGTTCTTGTTCCGGTCAAACCACCACTTGGCGGAACGAGAGAACTTTCTTCTCAGCAATCCAAGCACTTGACAAATTGCAATCCAACCTCAAATTATGCCAGCTGTTTTTTGCAGCTTTCATACCCATCGGGCTAATATAGCATCTTCCGTCTTCATGCCATGTCCATCACACGCCATACCTAGTCCCACCTCCATCCACATTCATCCGTCGTTCAACGTGTCGGACACCAAGGTCTAATTCAGGAGATATTTGTGAACACACCTGACCCCCAGAGTTCTCTTGCAACGTGAAAAGAGGAAAAGTGGACGAAGATGGGGGAACATTCCACACGGCAGAAAAGACAAAAGATCTTAGTATAATAATAACACATGGTGGTACATCACCTTTCGTATTCTAACAAATCCTCCCTTTCCTTCCTATCCCTTACTCCTTCTTGTCGGTGGTCTTGGAGTCCTTCTTCTTCTCCTCAGCCTTGGGCTTCTCAGCAGCGGCAGCAGGCTTGCTCTCCTTCTTGGCCTCAGGAGCCTTGGGCTTCTCAACCTTCTTCTCCTCGACCTTCTTAGGGGCAGCCTCAACCTTGGGGGCAGCAGGCTTCTCAGCCTTCATCTCCTTCTTATCCTCAGCCTTAGGAGCAGCACCACCCTCCTTAGTCTCCCTAGCCTTCTTGGCCTGACTCTGCTTGGCCAAAAACTCCTTCCTTTGCACCAACCGCTGCTCCCTCTTCTCGCGCACACGTCTCCTGTACTCCTCGCGCCTGTCGGCCTTGGCCAGCTTGCGCTCCTTGATGCCGAGCAAGAAGGTGTTTCTTCTCCTCCTGCGCGCGCGGAACTTGGCCTTCCTGCTGCCGATCTTCTCAGTACCAGGCACGGAGCCGGGGTCGCCGATCAGACGACCAATCTCCCAGTTGGTCTCGCGGTAGCTGTAGTTGTTCATCAACCTGAGAACGCGGGTGCCGCGGCGGGCGAGCATCTTTTGCTGCTGCAGCTTGCGCAGGGCCGATTGTCGGGCGTTGTACTCGGCGCGGGCGGCGAGCTTCTCCTTGATGAGTTCGGCGATGACCGAGTTACCCCCGTTGTTCGAGGTGGCGGAGATGGTGCTGCTGGAGGCGGGGACGGCAGCGGCGCCGGAGGCTGTTACGCGGGCGCCCTTGCCCTTGACTGCCTTCCCGGCGGTAGCGGCGGCGGCGGCGGGGGCTGCTGGTGGGGGGATCTCGATGCTCTCGGTGCGGGTAACCCAGAGGGGCAGGCCGGAGGCAGACATGGTGGGCTTCTCGACATCTTCGACCTTGCGGGGCACGGCGACCAGACCAAGCTTGCGCTTACGCGGGGCGTCCTGGCGGTAGGGGAGCTTGTCGTTGCGGTTGAAGACGACGCCGATGTACTGACGGTCCGGGTGGCGCGCGGGGTCACGGTAGTACTTGACGTAGCCGGCGACGGCGGCGTGGATGGTGTGGTCACGGCCCATGATGGTGTTCTCGCCGGGGTGCCATAGTGTACCGCGCTGCTTGTAGATGATGTTGCCGGGGATTACGTACTGGTCTTTTCTGTAAGGTCAGCGGTGATGCGCAATACTCAATGCGCGCAAGCCTTGTTCATGACAAAACATACCACCCGTCTTCTTTGCGCCGAGCTTCTTGGGAATCGTCTTCTTGGCCGTCAGCTTGTAAGCACCCTGGGCCTTGACACTGGCATAACGGCGACCCTCGACGGCGACATTGCTACTTGTTGGGCCGATGCGGAGGTGGGCAAACTGCTCGGAGAGAAGGGCTGTCGCGGAGACGGAGGAGTGGGTGGTGGGTAACCGGCAGACGGAGTGGCAGCTGTTGGCAGCAGCCCTCGTCAAAGGCTGCCGCAGCTGTGCAAGATGCATTGTGTTTGTTGTTGTTGTGTGTATGAACTACTCGTCGTCGTCGTCGTCTTCGGTCCGAGGCAGTCGTCGTCGTCGTTGTCGTCGTCCAGTCCAATTGTTCGTCCCGGGATTAGAAAATCGAAGACACCACACACGGAGGGGGATCGACCGGGGCGGCGTGTGGGTGGTCGGGGTGTGGGTGCGGTCGGAGGACGGAGGGACCGAGGGAGGAGGGGAGGGAGGGGACCTGCGGGCGGAGCGGACGGAGGAAGGGTTGCCAATGTCCGCACGACGCGCGGGAGTGGAAGCGAAAACCAAACTCAAAAATCGGGCGGGTCCCAGTCCACAAGCCGTGCCGTCGTCCAGGTCTGCGAAGCGTGCGACCGAGAAAATGCCCCACTCAAAAGTTGAAGGTCGCACCAGGGCAGCTGGCGCACTGACCAGCCCGGGGAAGCTTTCTGCTTAGTCATTTCTTCTTTAACCGCATAGGCTGACTTAGATGCCCAGCACCCGACGGTCAAAGAGATTCGATAAGATAAGATACCGATAAGGGAATGCGCATGCGGGCCGTCACTGACGATTTGGACAAACTGGCCAGCAAGGCCCCTGCAGTGGACACTGGACGCCCGTCGCCCAGAGCTTCCAGCGACCACAGCACTGTTTCCATCGTCGCATTGCTGCCCTGTCGCCATTGTCATCAGCAGCCGTGTAATTGACAGCTTGCCGACACCGTCGTCGCAAACCACCGTCCACGACTTCACGACAACACCACACCACGACACTTGGGCACTAGTCCTTCCCATTCCCGCCATTTCAACCCAACGAATTGCCACGGATACGACCACCAAAATGCGCACCCTAACCCTCCTCCTCTCCCTGCTCTTCCTAGCCTCCCCCATAGCCGCTCAATTCGGCTCCTTCTTCGACCAAATGTTTGGAGGCGGTGGTCACGGCGGACACGGACATCAACACCAGCAACAACATCAGGGCCACGGCCAACAACAACATCCGAACGTACCCAGCGATCCGTCGATTTACCAGGCGAATTACCAAAGGGCGCATTGCGACAAATATTTGTGTCCTGATACTTTGGGTATGTCTTCTTTTCCCTACCCTGTGGTTTTGGCTCGGTTGGGTTGAGGATGATGGGAGGGGTTTGGATTTTGGAAGGAAAGTTGAATGGGATAAGGGCTGACGGGAATAACATCAACAGCTTGCGTCCACTACCCCCACCACTGTCCTTGCCCGTGGCCGTCGCACGAAGACAAGGTTGAACTTGCTGAGGGTCAGAGGGTTTGTGTCTCGAGGGGAGGATTCAAGGCTGGCGAGGCGGCGAGGAAGATTGAATTGGCCAGGCAGGGGTTGCTCTGAGCTGTCTTCCCGCTCAGTCTGCGGAAGACAGGGGAAGTGGAGACATCGACAGACAAACATAAGAGTAGGACGAGCGTTCCATTGCTCGGCATTTGGCGTTAAAAGTACATGCTATCACGATGAAAATCTAGACAAAGATCTTTTGGATGATGGATTTCATGGGATTAACATCTATGTAACACGAGACTCGAATGCCATCAGCATGTGTCAGCCATAATGTTGTCCCTAGCGACACCCGTCCCGGGAAGCGAAGAGGAGCTGAGACTAAAGAACAGAAAGAGAAAAATGGTAAGAGGCTGCGTGTGCATTCTTATTCTTGGGGCTGTGTCTTGATGACTGCAAAATTGGGGGTCCGTAACACATGAAACCCTTCATTATTCATAGAACAGAAAGCAGAAAAAAAGAAACAACATTGATGCTTCGCTATCATGGAATTCGAAATGCTGACAGTGACGCCAAACCAGATCGGCTGCAACACGCCGACTGATACCAGGTATACCATACCATCCATCACCAACCCTTTCCCTCCTTCAATAAGAGCAAGCCGTAGAAGAAGACAAAGTAGGGACCGTCCAGTCATCAAACCATATACATAAACCATCCCGGATGCGAACGTGAACCTCCGGCCGTTCGCGTCCTTCTCTTGCCCAGGCGCATCTGCACCTGTAACTATATGGCGGTCTTCCTCCAACATTGTAATTTTCGCAATGCATGCCGTCGCAGCCTCGTAGCCCCCATGTCCATCTTCTTGGCAGCTAGGACTCACATCACCGTAATCATCGGCTCATCATCAGATCAGAACCCGATGCTTCAAGCCCCAATAAACGAGACGTGCCTGTGATTCCTGCCCTCTGGGTCCCCCTCCTACGACGATCCATTCGACCTTGTGGGAAGAGCCGGCACCACGGGGGTCTCCTCATCGTCATCATCATCCTCATCCTCCAGCTCCTCAGGGTGCCCAAGTAGCGACGCGACACTCTTCATCTCATAGTGCTTCTTGCGCATCTCCTCAAACTTTCGATGCTTCTCTCTCTCCTCAGCGTTCATGCCAGCAAGTTCATCATCGGGATCATGGCCGCTACCGTTGCTGTTGACATGCACAGCTCTGGGACGCTTAGGGGAGCCGCCGTCTTCGGAACGAGCAGTAGCGCCCTGACCAAAGGGGAAGCCACCCTCGGGTACCGCCTCCTCGGGCTCGCCGAGTGACAGGCCGGGGATCTCGTCGTCGATGTTGCCGTGTCTGCGCTTGTTCTGCTTAGGAAGAGGCGACAGGCCGTCCACGCGATCCATGTCGATCTTGTTATGGTCGATGGCTTCGGGCACTTCCTCGTCGTCGTCCGATGGGTCCTCGGAGGGGTCGTAGTGCTTAGCGTAGGGCGTCTTGGGCTCGTCGATCTTCATGGTGCTGGAGCGCTCCTGCTCGGTGAGATAGAGGTTCGCCTCGTCCCATTTGAGGCGCTGGCCTTGTTCGCCGGAGTCTTCGTCGCCATGGTGGCTGGGCGTTGTCGAGCGGCGGGAACCGCTCATGCCGGGGCGCGAACCGGCGACGGATGATGACCGGCGCTGACCGGCGTTGATCTGGGTGTTCATGATGGTGATCTCCTTGGCCTCTTTTGCGGAGGAAGGCATGTGGATGAGTGGCGGGGGGTGGCTAGCGTCATGGCGATGCTGGGCTTCGAGGGGGGAAGTAGGGCCCGCGGGTGGAGAGCCAAGGTAGGAGTTCTTGAGGATACCTGGAGATGAAGCATTTGTTAGCACTCAAATACTGATGACAGTAGGGTAGTTGTGGAAGAAAGCTGGGGGATTTGCGACTGCGTTGCCGAGTTGGAGGCTGGCTGGACATACCCTTTGGCCGCGGGACCGTAGGAGGCGGCGGAGAGTGTGTAGGTGACGTTTCCATGGCGGTTGACATGTTTGGAAACAAGCTGTGTGTATATTGGTTGTTCTCGAACAAGTCGTCAATGAACTGCGATCAAGAAAGTGTCGAGCAAATTTTTAACCGAAGGTGAATATGTGGCCGGCGCAGTCGTTTTGTTTTGTTGGCAAAAGGTGAGATTGTTCGATTGGGAAAGCGAGTCGTCAGTCGGTGGAAAGAAGTGTCGAGAGCAACAACGACGAGAGAGGGTGGAGTGACTTTCTGCCCCAGATGATCGAAGACAGTGGGGTCACTGGATTAGCCTGGAATGGATTGGAGCCTTTTGTTTGGTGGTTAGGCAGCTCTTGGGCGGGGCGGCGATCACTGTCTTGGTGGGCTTGTTTGGTGGGATGTGGAAGCCAAGAGAAATGCAGCGCCGCGATCACGTTCTGAACAAGATATCGACAAATAAACTAACAAGTCGGATGAACTATCGGGTTGTTGGGCAATCAGGAGACCGGCGGATTCCAGGCAGATCCGTTTCGTTTATCTCGCGGAATTGGTCGATTGACTCAACGCTTCTTTACTATGAATCCCCCCCGCCTTGTCGTTGTTGGGAGGCCTTCAAGAACTCCGGTTGGGGATCGGTGCTTAACAACAAGTAACAAGTCTAAGACCCGTCGTCCACTGTAAACGCTGCCCTCCGTTGATCTTATCGGCCGGTCTAAGACGAGCAGTCCCAAAGGCCGGGTATTCGCGCAAAGAAGTGAGGGGTTGCGGCCTGGATTGTCGTCCCTGATATCGTGATAAATCAGATGATGGATTGTCCTCCGTTGTGCCCCGATCGTGATTCTTATTTCGTTTCCAAAATGCGATGGGTCGAATTTCACAAATTGCCTGTGACTGTTAAGACTGAGTAACAAATCCGGGGTTGAAGTTGAACGTTGAACAGAATCAGGGTCCGGGTCCGCCATTTTAACCGCTTGGCGGGGTGAGGTACTTCGGGCGCATGCTAAATGACGTGCGTTATACTGCAAACCGTCGCAATGACAGAAGTATCGCGTCAAACAAAGTGTTAAGGGCGCCCTACCCGCGCAGAAATGCAGAAGGGACCACTGGTTATTACATCATCGTGCCTTCAACCTCTACCCTTTCCCCGCGTCCACTTATTTTGTCCTTTGTTTCCCCCTTCAATCGCATTTCCGGGACAGAATTCACGGCAATAATGGACCGTCATGGATTTCTTCGCAGACATTAAACTTATAGATTACTCTTTTTAAAGTGTATGTGATCCTTAGTGTACATGGCAGCTGCCATCCCTTTTTCCTTTCCCCAAGTTGATGAGAGTCGTGATGCTCATAATGGCATGAAATAAACCGCATACCTCGTCACCCTCTTCCAGATCATAACCCCAGCCTTACATATATATATAATCCAAAACATCGTCGCCCACATTCCCTTAAACTCATTCCTTGATTAGTATGTATCCCAAGTTGGAAAAGTGTATCCAAAAACCTGGTCGTTGCTGTAGCCACCAATCCAAGGCCGATTGGCTTCTTTGGATCTCGGACGTAACAACATCGGTCGTAGCCGTGTGCAGTAAGCGCGCTGGCTCAGCTCATTCTTTCCAAGTTTGCCGCACTTTCGGGTATAGCAACGTGGCATAGTCATAAACCAAGACGCCCCATCAACCTCCTTATTAGATCTCGCATCCCGTAGATGCTGCTACTTCCCACATCATTGACTCATTGCCTCTCCCGCCTCATCGAGTGGGATAGAAATCGGTCCGCTTAACCACGGCCTGAAGGAGCGACGTCTCCACCCGATTCCGAGACCGTATCCGCATCCATTATACGGCCTCCAGACTGGCACCCCTTTATACCGCATGGCCACTAGCCTTGCTGTCAGTCTTCGACATTTCCATGCCCTTCTCGTACTTGTGCAGCACCGAGCTACCAAGGGAAGCAGCCTCGTCGCTGAAAACGTCCACCTTGGTTTCAGCAAACTTGCGCGCACTGATGCCCTTTGAGAAGAGGAGGTCGAGCTCGGCGAAGGTGCGGCCAGTGGGTTCGGGGACACGGAAGTAGACGTAGACGATGCAGAAGAAGCAGATGCCGGCCCAGAAGAAACCGGTAAAGTTGGACCAATTCCAGGCGCCGGGGTTGAGCATGTAAGGGGTGAGGACGGCAGTGATGATGCCAACGATGATGCTGTGGATTGTTAGTATGGAGGAGCTTAGCGAGGCATCCGCGAATGAGGGACTTACTAAAGGACACGACCAAGAGCAATGGTCTTGATCTGCAGTCTCCTTGTCGAAATCTCACTAACAAGTGAGTAACAGACCGTTCCGACCGTCAACTGATACACCAATGCCCAGCCAAGCATGATACTGCCCGTCGCGATCGAAGCCTCCCTGTTGTGAGCCTCAGGGACAAGACCAAGGAAGCCCAGCACAAAGAGCATGCAGAAAAGGCCGCACAGTCCATACAGGTAAAGCGCTCTCCGTCCAATACCACGGCTCATCAAGAACCACGCGCCAAACACGCCCGCCATGTTGATAGCGTACTGCCCGAGAGCAAAACCATAGGCATCGTCGTCGCTCAAGCCGGCTTGCTTGAGGAAATACGTCGAGTAATTCGAGAACGAGTTTCCACTCAAGTTCTGGATCGCCCACACCATGCACACAATCTCAGTTCTCCGAAGATCATGTCCCTTGAAGCAGTCCCAGTAGGTCGCTCCCTGCGTCGTCTTCTCCTCTAGGGCCGTGGTATGCACCATCATGGAGATGGTCTCGTCGGCATTGAATTCGGTTTCGCGGTTCAAGCTGGTCAGACGGAGGAGGGACCTCTTGGCTTCCTCTAGACGACCCTTGCGGACAAGCCACCAAGGCGATTCGGGCGCGAAGAAGATTCCCAAAGCAAGAGGCACGGGCCACATCCACTGGAGGGCGTAGGGGATCCGGTAGGCCCATTCATCGTTGCGCTTGAGCATGGACATGATGACACCGATGCCGATTTCCTGGCCTAAGCCCCAGCAGAAGTTGACGTAGGTGGTGAGGTAGCCGCGCATGGCAACGGGGCAGACTTCGGAGGCGTAGGTGATGGTGAGGGTTTGGAAGACGCCCCATGGCTGGGAGACCGTTAGCCGAAGGTTTGCACTGGGAGATGAGAGGGCGAAACTTACGATACCGCAAAGAATCTCAGCAGCCAACAATGTCTGGACGTTTTGCGCCGTAAAAAACAGCGAAGTCCACGCGCAAATGAGCATCAAGCAACCGATGACGGTATAACGGTATCCAAAGCGTTCTGATACATATCCGTTGATGAGAAGACCGATCAGCTCTCCTACATTGGCGCCCTATGAGACTGGTCAGCATTCTTCCTTCATTCAAAAGCACTCAGGTCCATCTCGCACGGCTCATGCTGCAAGCCCTCCCCCACGGACTTTCTCGCAAGCGGGAACCGGACCCGGACCCGATGCAGCGGGATTGGGAGTGAGATCGTGGGAAGCGGCTCAGGCGCGTGGCACCGGCACAGACGTGTCAGATCACTGCACTTTGATCAGTACTCACGTTACTTAGGCCAGCCTGCCAGCGAGCGGGAACCTCCCAGTGGCCTGGCGATATCTCCTCGCCGTACTTGCGAGCAAACTGGGGGAAGGCGTCTGGGTGTTTGTCAGCACTAGCTTCTTCATGTGAAGCGATTTCGTCACATGTCGAATGCGAAAGTGAGACTCACAGAAGTTGTTAATCAAACAAACATCGTAACCCTCCATGACGATGCACGTTGAAATGAGCATGCTCCACGCAATCGCCTTTGGGTACAGCTTTATGCCCTGCAACAGCGTCATCTTTTGCTCCTTGTCTGTTGCTGTTTTGGCGTTTTGAATGATCCGGTCCGTGGTCGCGGTGCGTCGGACCTCCTCCGAGTTGTGGAGGACATTATGCTGGAGACCCTTGGAATCGCTGAATACAATGTCGTCGTTGGATGCCGTGTTGGCTGTCTCCCGAAGGTCGGGTGAAGCCATGTTTGCGGCTTTGGATTTGCGTTGCCCCCTTTTTTGGTGTTGTCCTATGGAGTGCTGTCGGCCTGTCGCTACGCAGCCTGGATGTTCGTTTCAAAGTACCACACCGACGGACGGTCAAATGTTCACCGTGACTTTTTTGATGTGGGTAAACAGATGAAGTGGACACCGGTTGTTGTTGTGGCAAAGCCGTAGAGGTGAAGAATGCCCAAATGAATGGGATCCGACAAAGTGTGAAAAGACGGGCGTGAAGATGAACCACACAACCTCAGCCGTGATGCAGTGAGAAGATGGTTGACCGTTGAAGGAATTCCAGGAGAGAAAGGCCGTCCAGGTCGCAGGACGCTAGAATTTAGGAGGCGGGAAAGAACACCGGATGGAGCACGGGGAGCAGTCCAGAGACCGGCGCGACTCCATCGTAGTTTTTTTGGATTTGAGATCCTTGGACCCGTTCTTTCCTTTCTTCAGATTTCAGCGGTTCCCGGCCACCGGCCACCACCACCACATCCCGATCCCAGTGAGCAAAAACCCAGAAGGGGAAACTTCCATTGTGAGGAAACAAAGCCAATGACAACAGGCCGTTCGTCCCAGGAAGTGGTGAGGTGTGGAGAGATGGTGGGGCTAGCGGTTGTTCTAGTGTCGAATTGTTCAGTTCGGTGCCGTTCCATTCATCCATCCAGGCCTTTCCTTTGGTGCTTGCCATTGGCACAAGTTCCAAAGTGGAATTTGATGTGCATAAAGTCTCGGGCGGCCGAGGTTCGTGTTGATTCTTTTGGGAGCCAGAGGGGTTCACCGTCCAGGCCATCTTTTCGGACATCGGTGCTACATTATACCGAAAGCTCTTTCTTCAAAAGACTACCATGTCAGGTCCCATGACATGACCGGAGGTCTGATAACTGGAAGGAGCCATTATGGTGATTGTCTGTAGGGCACATTGGATGGGAAGGAATGATGATGTTGGGGAAGGAGTGAGGGGCAACGGTTAACACCTATTTCCGAGGGGGTCTTCCACATGATCAGAGAATACAAAGGCATCATGACGGAAGCTCAGAGAGATCAAAGAAAAACATGATCGGTTTGGAAACAGAGAAGATTAAAGATCCAATAATATAGAATGACGACAGAGGCCAATTCTTATCATACCTTCTCTCAGGGGTAAACAGTCGTCCTTTCTTTTCTTTTTCCCCCAATCGTTCTTTTCAAAATTGGTGATGAACTCCAGTTGTGCAGTCTTTGTTTGATTGGCTGTTGACATGCGACGCACATGATGGCCTGAGCGTTGCACAGTGAAAAACCCCGCACCGACCACCTTGTGCAAGTCTGCTGTGACAAGAGCGCTTGTACCCCAAGTGTCCGATGAGCGGATTCCTGTTAGATAAATCCACACTCTGCTACATAATTTGCTAACAACTTGTCCTCACCATGGTACAAAGGCCCGGCTGGTACACGACTTCCTCAACTCAGAGTCCTGTGCAGCGCCAAAGTGGTGCGGTGCCCCTCACGATTCTCCAAGCAAATTTCCATTTCTTTCCTTCTTTTTCATCTCATCACCTCTTCCATCGTCGAGTTCACGATACGTACACTTTGCACCACTTGCACCGTTTCAGCTGGTTGAAGCAAACATCTCCGGTTGCATCATGTTGCTACTGTTCCACTGCCCTTCTTTCGTGTCACGTCAGGATCCCCAGCCTTTCAGCTTCTCGAACTCCTGCGCGATCCCACGTCGGCGACCACGACTCCTCATTTCTATGTCCAGGCATAAGACATTGTGGGGATCCGCGGAGAAGACGAGTCGGCCGTCGTCTCTTTAAGCTTCTTTCCCCGGATCTGCACTTGACTAAGTTGACTTCCACTCTCCTGATGTCCTCCGCTCCGATGGATCCTTTCCCCGGGATTCTCGGAGATTGAACAAATGTTTCCGACTGTTTGCCATCTCATCTTTCCTCCTATATCTTCACGGCCTCCAGCCGATATGTCCCATGTTTTCACCACGCGGGTGACGGACATCAGCCACGGGCGTCGGATGAGCGTGTGGCCCTTTGCGGCTGGCTGTTGCTGCTCTCTGTCCTTCCGGCCCTGTCTGGAACTTGGCCTGCTATGTACTTGGGCCACCACAAGAGTGTCACAGACTGTGGCAGCTGCTTCTTACAATGATCCGGCACCCTTTCGTCGGCCCTTCCGTCATGACATCGCAGACCATCGACTCGTCTTACTTTTTCAAAAGTCCACCTCACTCACTACCTAAGGTAGTCACTGAACACTCATCGGATCGCGGTCGTCGTCAGTCGTCACATCCATCTTGCCCTGATTATCATTCCCTAGGTAGCTGTAACGGTGCGGTACCTTTTCACACAAACCTTACCTACCGACTTCGTTGGGTTGGATGCTGCATTTGCCCGTACCCCCCGTCGTAATGTTCGCCTAAACCACAAGTCGTCTTAACTAAACCCCCATGGCCGCTTTTCCTGTCGACGCCCGCCGTCACGTCTTCTATCAACCACTTTCTCCGCACAAACTGAACATTTCCGAATCCGCTTCTTCAGCCTCCTGCTTCCCCTCCTCATCCTCTCCAAGTCCGGAGTCGTAGCCCAAACAGCTGCTCCCCTCCATGTCCGGTCTTTGGTTTTTGCTTGAACAACTGCCGAATCTGCCGCGGATCGACCCAGACAACCCAATCTCCCGGATCCTCCAACTGACGCTGCTGCTCCACATTGCCAGCTACCATTCACTACCGTACACTCCAAATCTCCAACTGCCACTGCCACTGCTACCAAGACCCGATTTGACTGTGCCGCCATCTGAGTGGTCGTATTGTGATATACACTTTCAGTCTCCAACCCGCCCAGCCCATGTATCTTGTCACAACTTTGCTCGCAGATTAGATGCCATCATCAAGAATCTCCCCCAATCCCCTGTCTACATTTGGTTGGTGAGTCGATTCCCTCTCACCCAGACCCATGGAATCCTATAACTGACACATTGATTTGGGCAGTGAAAACTGTCGCCAGCAGCACCTGAAATGTGAGCATGGGCTGGCCACCCATTTGGGCACCCTGCATTGGGGAACATCACCACTGACATCGAGTTATTTCCTCTCGCCCTTTAGGCGACCGAGTAACGCCCGCATGCGGCAGGTGTCAGAATACAGGGCGTGAGTGCCGCCGGAGCGGTCTCAAGATTCGACAGTCTCCTCAATACAGTTAGCCTTCCCTTCTCACATTTTGCAGGTTTTAATCCCAGTGTGACGATTCACCGCAGAAGTCAAGGCACTTCTTCGGGTTCATAGCCATTGGCCATTCGTCAACTTTACTCGCCATAAGAGAACTCTAACAATTACCACACTGCAGCCAAGTTCAGCAAGACACAAAAGTGGGTCAAGATCGAGAGACGATGTGAGTATCCCCCTTTTTGTTTCACTTTGTGCATTCACACCAAGTCAGTGTTACTAATATTGGACATATAGTGGAATTCGTTGATGAGACCAGGAAGGTCATCTATGAGGCCGCTACTCCGGATAGCGGCCTCGATGAGATAGAGCCCGACCTAGATTCACCCGTCCTTTCCGACCAGTTGCTACTGCGAGAGTTCAGTCAACCTTTCCTCTCGGAAACGCCAAATGGACATGGGAATCCACAACAGTTTCTTTCACGGGAGCAGACCTTGCCCGAATCCCCTCGTCTTTCAGAGATAGCATCGGAGGCATTATCCCTTCGCGGATCGGTTCAGCCACCTGAAACCGTCTCCTCTTCAGTAGGACATGCACGCGAGCATTCTCCCACCGACCGCTTCATTGCGCGCTCTGGGTCCTATCACCAAATTTACTATTCAAAAAACTCAGCATTCCCAATAAAAGATGAGGGGGAAGCTGAGCTATATCGGCATTACGTACAGAATCTGGCACCTTGGGTGAGCAGCCTTGTCACTGGCTTCATGAACTTCTTGTTGATCTTTTACCTTCCAGCTCGATTTATGTGATCCGCTGAGGTCATTTGCGACCAAAGTGCCCCAGAACGCAGCAAAGTTTCCGCTTCTTCTCAAGGCCATTTACTCCTTCTCAGCTCGGCACAAGACACTGACTGGCTCTTTCGATCCGGTGAGGAGCAGCGAGTACTACGATGAATGCCTAACCGAGCTCAGGGATGTCCTTGCTGCATACGACGAGTCTGGAGCCGACGAAAACCTGTTTGCTGCTACGATTATCTTGCGGGTCCTCGAAGAAATTGATGGTAGGAAAACTTCCACTTGCTTGCCGCAGACACGTACTGACAGCATACCAGTTGTGGACAATGGGACAGATCAGGAAGCTAATCTACTGGGAATACATGCGTTTGTATCCACCGGATCGTTCTTTGAAAGTCCCAGTTCCCTTAGTATCGCGTCATTCTGGGTCGGCCTCCGCCAGGGCATCTACAAAGCAGTTATCAACAAACGACCTGTGGGACTGAGCGTAGACCATATCCTGGTCGAACAGTCACTCGAACGAAGGGACTATCACAGTGTTGCGAACAATGCAGTGGTGCATTGCACACGCGTCCTCAACTTTTGCTTTGACAAAGGAGGAGTGCGCAATGTGGAGGAATGGAATAAGCTATGGATATCAAACGAGTATTGGGAGAAGGAGCACGTTGCTTTCCATACACCCATATTCGAGGCTTCCAACGATGTTCCTTTCCCACAGATATGGTATCATCAGAGTTGTCAAGGTACGTCGACGTCTTACTGTCATCATGTCCGAGCTAACAGTTGATGGCAATCAGTAATTGGGGTACAGCATCATCTTCTAGCCAAGTCGTACTTGATTCGATTCAAGCTGAAGTTCTCGGCGACTGGTACCCGTAACTCGTCCAGTCTAGCTAAGGGGGAAGCTGAGGTAGGTTGGACTCCGCGGTTTTGGATCAGTGACAAGATGGCTGACTCCCTGCGCTTAGGCCGACATACAAAGAATCGTGCGAACTCTCTGTGGTATTGGTCTAGGAAATCAATGGACCCCTCCAGGCATGTTCACAGCATGCATGGCTATTTCCGCTTGTAGGTCTTTGGCTGCCTTGTAGCAATTCCCTTTTCCGTATGCTCCAATCTAACCAATCATGTTGCAGTCGGTGCTAGTTTCACCCAGCGGAAGGACCAGGAGGCCATGATTGATATCCTACGGAAGACGGAGAAAGATCATGCTCGTCCCACCAAGTTGGTGCAGGAAGACATGATGAAGGCTTGGGGGTGGTCCGCTTCCACGTGGACTCCGACACAGGTACCCCCGTGGCCAGATACAACGCAGTATGCAACGAACTTGAACATGAACAACAACATGGGTTACCAACAGGATCAATAGGCCTGCGTGCCGCTGTTCACGAACACAACACTGCTGGAGAAAGAAACACGGAGTGGTGTTGAGCGGCTGGAGAAGGCTGTTATATCAGCCCATGTGGCTGCAAAGATGGAAAGCAGACAAATCGACATCGGTCAGATTCAGGCATGCTATTATTCGATCCAGAAAGGCTTATGACGACATCTCGCAACCACGAGGATCAGACGATGAATCAGATGAACCATAAGCACAGGCATAAGTTAGGGTCTAGGAGCAGGGACACGGTTGGAGCCAGAGTGAAGGTCAAGCAAGGTATAGCCTAGTCAACAAGGCGGGCATTCGGGTCGGGTCTAAGAACCGCGAAGTATTCATCAGTGCCTTTGTGCGCCAAAAGAACATTGCCTTTTCATACATCCACGAACAAATGCCATCTCGACGAACTGGTCGATGAACCGGTTAATGTCGCATGTCAGCCATCTTCCGCCACTGTCGCACAATAGCATCACAATGCAAGGTTAGCAGCAGTTCGTGGAGAAGGGCTTCTGTGTGACAACCTCAAGTTCACGTTTTCGATACAGCCCTAACTCTCAGTCTTTTATTCGATCACGAAGGATCACGAAGAAGCAAAGAAGATTCAGGGCTGAAAGAAGGGTTTCCAATCGCAAGCACCTTGCAGATTTCGCCCTGGTTATCCAGCCAGGGGTATCATGCGAGATCGGGGTTCATGTGCGCCCTTGGTTGTGATCTCCCTACCAGGGCCACGCAGTCGCAGGTGGACAGGAGTGCTGACGGAAGCAAGGGGCAAACCGCAAGGCCAGGTTATTAGAGCGCGGGAGATGGGGACCAGAGAGAGGTGTCTGCGAGGATTGATGAGAGACAATCTAGAAATTCCTTTGCTCGCAGTGATGTGCAAGCCTTGCAGGCTTTATCCTGCCCTGACATATTGCTCGAGTTCCACGGCAACGACTCGGCAGTAGCCACTTCCGTCCTTCTGTACGCTCTAAACTATGGGAGAATGGTGAGCTCTGTCCTGCCTTCCATTGTCATGGGCGACTGGTATGGCTCCGTCGCATGACTGGATGCGGCCTCGTGCTTCGAATCGAGCAGGATGCTGCTGTTCTCGTTGACTGTCGTCGATTCAATATCGGATTGGGAAGATCCAGCATGAGGGAAATGCAGATAGCCTTGAAGCCGGAATTAGGCGCTTGGCCTCGGGCTGGCAGCCTCGATACAGATGGTGGAAGTGCTGCTTCCCGCTCTCTAGCACGTTGAAGCCGTTCAAGCCGTTGTGTGTAACAGACCTATGAGAGATTCCTACCACACAAGACCCGGCCCGACAATATTCGGGCGCGCTGCTTGGCGCCAGGTTGCTGTCCGCGAGAAAGCCTCTCCCCTTGATGTGCGTGGCTGCTTTCATGCTTCATGTGCGTCGTACCCGACCCGTTGAGCAGGAAGCATGAAGTGGAAGCAAGCCTCATCTGCCTGTATCCCTGCCCGAACTGCCCTTCTTCCTTTTTCTGATGCGTGTGCAAATCGATGCGATGCACAATGACAATGACAAACTCGATGCCCATCAAAACCCATCACGCCTATCTCCCGTCATTCCCCCTCATCTACGTAACCAAGTACGCGCCAGACAGGTAACGGGGAAACACACCAGGGACAAGCTTCGGAAAGTTATCAGTCATCCTGTTGGCTTTGTGGCCTTTTTGGTTCTGGCGCAGTCACTGCAGTGATGCTTTCGGAAGAATTGCGCTTGCTTGCATGGTTTGCGATACTTTGGTATCCGTTGACCTTTCCGAGTTTGTATCATTGTGCGAGTCTGAGAGAAACGGGAAGGGATGGGGGAAGAGCTTTTGTCGAGGCTTTCAAGTTCCGTGTCCCTTGGGTTGCGGTCTGTGTTTCCCCAGACTCATTTGGCATTTCAAAACAGGGAAGGACAAGAAAGAAGCTACCTCTATACTATCTGAAACGGGTAATCCGATGTCGTTCATGTCTTCCTCAAGAGCTCCAGAGCTGAGGCGACGTCAAAAAGCTATCACGAGGTTCATCATGGCGGGGCAAAGGGAGCTACAAGCTAGCTGATAGTAACGCTAGATGAGGCGCTAGACAGAGCTAAACAAGCCTCGTTTTGGGCGCGGATAGGGTCCTGTTCTTTCCGTCGCGGTCTGGTCTTCAATCGGGATTTCTTTCCTCTTTCGTCTTCTCGGATAGGAAATATTCTTGAGGCTGTCAGTGCAGTCCGCTAAAAGGACTCTTCTGAAAGCTGAGAAGCGAACAAATCATAGCCAACTTCAGCGCCCGGAACACGTTCCGCCAGGGGTAACATCTAGAGGCAGCTTACCTACCGCAAAGATCTTTGCCCATCGGACGGAATTTCCTTTTCTGTCGACACATGACGGTCAACCTCCATTGTGGCCTTGTGATGCCAACGGTTTTTTTTCCGTTTTTTTCCTGACTACTCCATCCGTACCCCATATTTCTTTCTACCCGATCGACGGATTGAACAAAAATGGAACAGAAGCAACGGAGCAAAAGAGCCCTACCCGGCAAGCAGCTGTCCACTTTCTTTCCTCCAACCTCTTGAACTTGGACACAATGACACAAACACCAGGCCAGGACGCACCCGCGCGCACACGACGCTGGCATATCACTCCGTCCCGCCAGTCTGGTTGCGGATAAGCCCCCCCTTCAACGGACCGCAAAGCCCATGACAAGCCCGTCGATGAGAAAGGAAATATTCGCCTGTTAGGAAAAGAATGAAGATAGTGGAGAGCAAACAATGACGACAGGCTGGCTGGGCCTCATCGACTTTCCTCTGGTGTCTTGTGTTCTTCGAGAAGAAGAAAGAGATAAACAACAAAGTGGATATCGGCTTATGATCTCAGTTGTTTCTATGGCTTCCAAGCATGGAATTTTCTTGAGATCTTCTCCCTCGATCTTCGGGACGTTTCAATAGGTTGTCAGGGTTTTGTAGATTAGAGCTGTGCTCTCTACCGGGATATAACATAAACACCGTCCGACCTGTTCCACCTGGATCAATCCCGGACTTCTTCCAAGACCTACCTCTCAAGGGTAGCCGCGCCGGGATCCTGCTCTTCCTTTCTCCATGTCTCCAGTCCAGTCCCTTTCCATCGGTCTACCTTAGGTTAGCTGCTCGATCCACGGAGAGTTACATCCGGCCGGCTTGCTTCCCGGGACATGGACCCAGACCCCATCCACCTTGCACTGGTACTGGCGGCTCCCAGTCCAACCATCCCGATTCCCGCAAACCATGCAAAGATAGGAGCCCGAACTGGTATCGGCAATGCGGTTGGATGTGGATATGGATGGGATTAGACCGATTACCGTTCGTTCGTTCATACCTAGTTGGGTTGCGCTGCCAAGTGGGTGGAACAAACTCCTCTCAATGTCAGAAGTCTGACTCTACTCCACCATCCGTCAAAATCGGAATAGGAAAGAGTGCGCGGTGGTAGTTGGTAATCGGATGGAGGGGCTATGAGGCTCTTTACTAAGAAGAGGGGGCAAACTATGCCTGTCACAAGGAGATATAAAGAGGACATGTGCTCTCCTTCAATGTTCGGTTTTGTTTTTGGATAACATCAACACCTCATTTATCAATACAAGCAAACGAACTCCCTACTCACTGCTCTGACTCGACTCTTTTTGGTCTTTGAGAACCTTGATAGGTAAGTGTGTACGAAGATGGTACTTTACGCCGAACACAGGGTGTTGTATACTGACTTCGTCATACAGATTCGAAAAGCATAAGAACGGCTTACTTCCCCTCTTTGAACATCTGGTTACCTACTTTCGAGCATTATCCAGATGATCAATTTGACAACGGCCACGAACATCTCTCCTTGATATCAGCCACCAACAAAAAACTTCACATCTTACCGCCAAGTTCCATCACAACCACCAATAAACCATTAAAATGGCACCCTCAGCCACCTACCCCATCACCAGCACCCACTCGGGCGCCGACCTCGAAGCCATCTCCGACGCCGTCGACGAGATCAACGTCCTCAAGTTCAAAGCCGCCCAACAAGTCACTGAACTCCTCGACTCCGACTGTTATTCCTCCTCATCTCCCACCTCCACAGCCGCCACCTCTCCCTCCGCTACTCACCACGACCAAGCCCAAGACCATGAAGACCTCGGCGACTTTGACACCCCTTCGCACTTCGACTCCACAAAAGACCACTCCCGCTTCCGGCAATACACCACCGCCGAGTCCCGCGTGCTCAACTTCTACGCCGAGCAACACGCCAAGCAAACCGTCTCTCACAACGTCGCTGCTCGCGCGCGCTTCAACAGTCCCGACCGCAAGAGGCCGGAGATGACCATCTGGGAGGCTATCGAGTGTCTGAACTCTCTCATTGACGAGTCCGACCCTGATACCGAGCTAAGCCAGATCCAGCATCTTCTGCAATCCGCCGAGGCGATCAGACGCGATGGCAAGCCACGGTGGATGCAGTTGGTCGGGTTGGTTCACGATCTGGGGAAGTTGATGCTTTTCTTTGAGCTGGCGACAGGACAATGGGACGTTGTTGGCGACTCGTTTCCCGTTGGCTGTCGGTTCTCTGAGAAGTGTATCTTGCCTGAGAGCTTCGCTGTAAACCCTGATTCGACACATCCGGTGTACAGCACCGAGCACGGGATTTATGCTCCGGGGTGCGGAATCGAGAATCTGATGATGAGCTGGGGCCATGACGAATACTTGTATCAGGTCCTGAAAGACCAGAGCTTGTTGCCGCGGGAGGGGCTGGCGATGATCCGCTTCCATAGCTTCTACCCGTGGCATCGCGAGGAGGCGTACGGGTGGGCGATGAAGGAGGGCGATGGAGAGCTGAGGAGGGCGGTGAGGGCTTTTAATCCGTATGATCTCTACTCGAAGAGCGATGAGCCGGTTGATGTTGAGGCTGTTAAGGTATGTCACCCTGAACCCCTTTTGGAACAAAGAAGAGAGAGAGATGATGCTAACGATAAGACGTGCAGCCTTACTACACCGAGTTGATCAACGAGTTCTTCCCGCAAAAGGTCATCAAGTGGTAGACTGTCACGAACACAACCACAACCAGACCACATCACCATCATCAATGGCGAAGATGTTGAAGAAAGAAGAAGAAAGCGGCACTTTGGCCCGAAAGCCGGCCTTTGGGCGACGGAGTAATAACGACACGATATCAATGCCTTCCGTTCTGTCAGACACGCAGTTTTTTGTTTTTTTCCTTTTTGTCCAGCCTTGGCTTTGTTATTAATCTCACGGCGTCATGGCGTCACGGTCACGGTGTTGTTAGACACGCACCTTATCTGCGTTGCGTTGCATTTCATTTCCTCTTATTAGGTGTCTTTACCTTTCACCGGACACATAGAGTTAGAGTCTTGTTTTTGTTCTGTTTTGTTGTCACTTGTCACTGCCATCGGGGGTCGTGTATCATCGCATCCGTCTCAGTCGGATCTTCCCACCGTCGCGCCATAGGACTAGGAACAGGGAAGCGACTCATATTATGAAAAGAGTCAAGCGTTGAGTTTAAGCGTTGCTGTTCTGTTGGACACTCGTCATTTTTGTCGTGAACTGTGATAGTGATGACTGTTCTGCTCGCCAATACCTGATAATCGTCGGCAATGGTGCTCCGAAATTATGGCAAGCATTCTCTCCGCGGAGATTGATGGATTGCGGCCTCCAGGCGCTCGTTCATGCCCAAGCAAGACATGCTCAACAAGCAGCCTTCTTTCCCGCATCAGATTCCGAAATGCCATTGCCTTGCCAAGCAGCATAGACATCGGCCACTTGGTCCACGTCCCCGGCCGGCCAGTCCACTCTCCAAAAAAGCTTGCCATGGTCATTCCCATCCCTCGATTCATGTGTTCTCAACAAACAGTTTCAGCTCCCCACCTAACCAGCAACACAGAGCCCATCGGCATCGAACACTCGTCCTCTTCTCTCGACACTTAGCAGGACCGACACCCTTCTCGACACTCGCTGGCCAGTCTACCTACCCGCCAATGTAGGTAGCACCAAATGTCTCGGATACGGAAGCCAGTGTCAGCTTGTGGCACATTGTACCCTACACCCGTGCCACGCTCGTCGGCTTGGGTCGGCACTTGACTCCCTTTTGCTGGTGAACTGGACAAAGCCAGGACGGGTTCCCCTCGGGTCCAGTTCTGATCTAGTCTGGTGGTCGTTCTGGTACCGAAGTCGGAGTTGAATGGGAGAAGGACAGAGGGACCAATGCAGGAACAATGCACGATGAGATACGGGCATGCAAGGTATGGAGGGGTGAAAGGACAGGAGACCACTTGGTCCTTGTGGCTTGGTGAATGGTGATCCTTTCGTGGACCACAAGAACCCGTGGTCACCGCCCTCGTTGACGGTGTTTCCGACGTTGTTTCCAAGTTCGGTCCCGCCTTAGGTCGGCCTACATCTTACGAGTCGAGTGCCCATCGTCGTATCCGATTTTCGTGTGGTTCTCCCCGTATAGACGCGGAGAAAAGTGTTATTGCCTCCAAACCCACCACTCCTCCTGCCCCTCGTGCTGATTCTTGTGCCCCTGTCTGTATCTGGTGCCGTACGACGAGTTGCTATAAGGGATCACTCCCATGTTCCGGGTAGGTATCAGGTATTTATCTCCCGGTTCAGAGTTGCTGTCGAGAATAACATTTTAGCCGAGATCTTGATTTGATGGAGGGATATCTCGACGGTGATCGCAATGCGCAATTCGCTTGGTTCTCCAGTTTTCGCCGCTCGATGCTTCGTTGCCGCTGGAGGTATTAAACGGAGGAGGAGGAGGCAAATGGCAAGATTGACGAACGGGGAATAGCTCCTGGAGGCGGTTGGTACGCAGTTAAATGCCGGCGAAGTATGGGGCAGCTCTTGTTATGCTTCGAGGAGCTGAACGCAAGGCTGGAGTTTTGAGCCAAGGACAAATCAGTGCTTCTTGGGATCTGAGCTGGATTGGAGCTAGATTGACGGTGGTGCTCAAAGGAGAAAAACTTGCGACGAGCCTAGTGGTCGCACAGTCAGTATCTGGGCAGTGATGTTCAAGTGGATGCAAAGAGTTGCAAACTTACAAGACACAACGAAGAGTGGCCAATGTCGGGGTAAGGTCTCTTTCGATCGCAATGGGAGACAAATGAAAAATGAAAACAAAAGAAAACCCTTAAAAAAAGAGACAAAAAAGATGCCAGTATTCCTATGCGTGGGGTCAAGGGCTACAAAACCCCAGTCCTGCGCAAGTACTAACTGAATGCTGTGCCCAATATAGTGTTACTCTAAATATCACATCCAGAGATCTTCAAGACTCCTGCTCACAATGGACGTGTGGTCTCCCCTACGTACTGTAGGGGCACGTCCCTCGGGATTCGGGCTCGTGGCCGAGACGGAGGTAGCTCAGTCTATGGCAAAGTTGACAGCACTACTAACTACGCTACGTTTCTTTTGAAAGGAGCAGTTCTGGTACCAATGTCCGGTAGAGAGGCTAGGAAAGGGTCCTTATCTGTGCGTGTTGGGCCTTAGAGATGAAAGGTTTGAGGGGTGTGTGCGTTTGCTCTTTTTTTGCTAGTGGTCGGCGGGCGTTCCGTGGTGTTGAAGTGAATGGGACTCCGGAGGCCAGGGTGGTCGCGCTCAACTCGGCCGTTGTGGCTTGCCGGCGGGACAGAGTTTTGCCGGCCCTCCGCACGGCAATAATCGGGTTTTTCTAGCATATCGGCTCCTTAAGACAGTGGCATAAAAGCCCAAGAGAGAAAAGGACATGGAATACGGAAGAACGTGGAGGCTCAATTACATCGAGAACGGGATGTTGTCGTTCAAAGTGGAGTAGAAGTAGCTCGGGGAAACGAGGTGGTCACTCGCACATTGCAAGCCGAAATGACAGCTTGGGTTCAGATGTTGACTGAGAAAGGAAGCAATATTGTGGATAGGGCACCAAAACAGCTCAACATCTCGTCACCCACCGAGCTGCTCTTCCCAATGCTCATGATTGCAGCTTCATTCGGAGGTGAACAAGTGAATGGTGAGGTACGTACCTTTCGAATGTGGCTCGTGCACACCATTGGCGCTCTCCACGTGATGACGTCCAACCCCGCAGTCCCACCCTCGGGAACGGCGCCAAGCGGGTCCAAAGATGCCGGCGGCATTCCACTTTCAACAATAGCCCAACATCATCACCAGATCTCATGACAACATTAACAGCAAGACTGCCTCATAACATTGTGCCTCACGACTAACGCTTGGAACTAAACAGTCTTTGTCTTCACTTCTCAACGGACGCGTCTTCTTCTGCTGGCCAGACACTACACAAAGTCGATAAATAGACAACCTCTCGACCAGCCTTGTACCAACCGCCGCGACAAAGTATCACCCAGACTTCATTGACAAACATAGACGGCGTCAGTCATTCATCATCGCCAAAATGGACTCACCAAACCGGCCCACGCCGCCCATCCATCACCTCTCCCTCAAGCTCATTCTCATTCCGCCCATCCTCCTGGCCATTGCGACAGCCCTCAGTCTCTTCATCCACTCCGACACCAACTTGTACATGCTCTACTCGCAATGTCACTCCCACGCCCGCATCGACTGGCTTTCGCGCATCCCCCTCATAGGCCCTCTCGCCTGCTTTCTTGTGTCCTTCTTCCAGGAAGCCCTCCTCTCGCCGGTTCGTTCCAAGGGCATCATGTCCGTGGTCCTCAGCTACGTCGCCGGTCTGCTGACCATCACCACGGTCGAGGGCTCGCGTCTCTGCAACAAATCCGCCTTTCTCCTCGCCTTCCCCACCGCTACATGGCTCATCTTTGACCTTGTCGGTGGCGCTCTAGTATGGGAACTCGTCATCATACCGGCTTTCTTCCACCGCGCAAAGACCGTTATTCAAGCCCGTCGCCAGGGAACCACCACCTCCGAAGGTGAAGCAGCCGCCGAACCCGAGCTCGTCCTTGGCGACCCGCGCCACTTGTCTACCCTCGCCGAGTCACTTTCGATCCCCGTGTCAATCGCAATTGGCTATATCCTCCCCTCCTTGCTTATCCTGCTGCTTCCCTCGGACAAGACCGCCGTACCGATCTTCCTCTGGCTCTTCTTCCCCGTCTGGGTCTCCCTTCTCCACCAGGGCGTGCGCACCGGGTTTCTGCAGGTGTTCAAAGATCACCCCACTTGGCCGAGACCCTTTCACTTGGAAACCTCCCTCCTGCCGCTGGTGACCACTTACGCTGCGCCCATCCTTTTGTCGCTGGCTTCGCATATCTACCTTATCGTTACACTCTTCACCCACCCGCGCGATGATCGGCAGGAAATGACGCTTGCTACCACGCGATTCATCATGGTAAACATGGTCTACGTTGGCCTGACGGTGTTGTACTGGGCGTTTATCGAGGCTGGATGGCAGACTGCGCTGGTGATGCTGGTGACTACGGTGCTGGCGGGACCCGGCGCGGGTGTCTGTGTTGGTTGGGTCTGGAGAGAGAGTGCGGTCGGGGTCGATTGGATTGGGCGGAGGTTCGGACGGAGGGGTAGTGTCATTGCTGTTGCGGTGGGCGGAACCGGGTCGAGGGGGGGAAGTGGTGACCGCGGAGAGGAGGGTCGCGAGGGTGGGAATGCGCCGTCGGAGGAGACGCCGCTTTTGCGATAAGAGAAGGGTTGGGATGCGGTGTGGACTGTGTGGGAATTGGCCCTTGTCTTGCATTTCGCTGGCGTCGTTTTGCATTTTATTTTGTGATGGAGACCGGTTTATTTGCTTCTGTCGTTTCCTTGCCTCCCTCTCGTTGCGTTTTCTTGTGTCGGTATTTCTTGCTCCTTGATTGTATCTTCCTTCATTTCAATTGATACCACCTTGTTTGCACTCACTTCTACTCTTATCATTGTGCACATCTCTGATTCCAAAACTATGCGCCAAAACTTCTTTCGGCCTGGGCATCCTCGACGAGCGACCTTGACACTGGTGGAAGGGCGACGGCAGAAAAGGGGCTTGACATTGAAGCGATGACGGAATAGGAGAAATGGACACCAGGCACAGCAGCCGACAGACACCTGGTGGGAGCGCTGGTGAATGGAAAGCCCAGTGAATGGGCAGGGCACGGACCTCCAACATCCGGACACCATGGGGATGGCGAGACTTCAGTATGTTACATCCAAGATCACTTCCTCACGATGTCTGGAGGACGTTTATCAGTCGGCGTCCCTTTCCTTGCGACATTTTCGCAAGTTTGTGTCCAGATTCCGGTTCTTCGATATCAGGCGCATCGGGTGATGGTGTTTGGGACATCCCCATAAGCTCCTGCCCCGGCACACCGGCCAAAGTTCACGTCAACCAACACCGACATTCTGAGAGAAATCTGATCTCAACACCAAGCGCACACCACATTTCCGCCTCGCACGGTGGCACCAATTGCTTCAATTGCGCACAATTCTCGAAATTCGTGGTGGGGCTACCATCCCACCATAAATTTCTGCCACCAGTGCTCAATTCGTCCTCCCTCGATCTTTCCCTTTCGTCGTCCGAGGTTGTCGCCAACCCACCTTCCGCCAACAACCACAACTCAGCAATTACCTATCTTCGACCATCCGTTTGCACAAAATTTCCGCCTCGTCCTTAAAACCAATTGAGTTTGTTTGCGTTGGCCAGTTGAACCACCCGCTTCTCATCGGAACAATGGCGGCACGAGAGTTCAACGCTGAGTACGATCGCATCAAAGGCGGTGACGGTCGCAGATATGCCGTATGGAAAGGCACGCCCCGCCCATCTTCAGATCAATGCTGCGTCAAGCTCGAGCTATACTGACACAGATACTGTCGCTCATCCAGGCACAGGTCCAGGGAAGCACTCGACACATGCCAACGGCGCTCTCTTACCGGAAAACTATGCCCCCCGCCCAGGATACTCGAGACGCAAATGGCCTTGTCCGATCATTGGATGTACTCGCGCCTTCAGATTGCTCAAGGAGCTAGGCAATCATTTTACAGTAAGTACCTCCAGTCTCTCCATCGATCCTCGAAATTGGATCTTACAGTCGATCCTCACCTTTGCCCTCTCCTCCTCCTCCACCACCCCAATGCTAACTTCCTTTTCTCTTCCAATCAGCCGGAACATAAAGGCGCAAACCTGCACGACCTGCGCAACGGCCAGTTCCGCGCTATCAGCTACGCAGGCAATGGACCTCCCCGTATCGTAGTCCGAAGCAACAAACCGCCGACCCCAATTCTCCCATTCCTTCCTCCAAGCAGTCCTGCGTCGTCCGTTGTGCGTTCATCCTCAGTCGAGCGTGGACCTACGCCTGCCATTTACATAAAAAGCGAACATCCAATCGTGTACGAAGACGGCCAGCAAGCTGAGCTAATTGTTCTTGATTCCGAGGATGACGAGCACACCTCCAGCACTCGGGACGTTGGCGAGGTGGTGGAGGAGGAAGAGAAGAATAGTGATGAGGACATGGACGATGTCTTCAGCGATGGCGCTGGCGCGGACAAAGAAAGTGTTACCAGCGTCAGTGACGCAGAGGAGGAGGACGTCGCCGTTCACACTCCTGATCGGAACGGACTCGCCTTCGAGAACCTCGAAAACGGCCAATTCTTCAACTACGCCGCCTCCCCAGTCTGGCGACATATCAACAGATTCACACCATCTCGCATCCCAGTACCGGAAGACACATGCTTGCGGGAGTTTCTCACGCTCCCTCTCGCTCGTGAACTTCCTCATTGCTGGCATGTTCTCCTCGCTCAGCCCCGCTTCGCCACGGAGTATTTCAATCTCAAGATGATGACCGGAGTGGCCATGTTTCTCACCGGCGAGGAGATGGACGTGGCGGCGTGCACGACATTTGATAAATGCCTCTTTCAAAATCCAATCCAGGTCGCTCGAGCACTGTCGGACTTTGCGGCAAAAGGCAATGCCGTCCATAATATCTTTGCCTTTCCGCGTTGTGTGGTCCCTTCGGCGGACTTCTTGGAGAGATCAGCGACGCTAAAGGAGAGGCTTGGCGGCATCACATGTTGCAATGCCTACTTCCACTTGGGCAAGGTACCAGAGCCCAAGCTGATCTACGTCGCTGGTTACCCGCTTCCATACCCGATTACTCCGGAGAACCCTCCCCGCGCTGCGCCGGCCCCGGCCCGCAAGGACAATGGCGCCTCTCCCACGTCCGGCCAACTCCAACAAAGCAGTCCTTACAATGACTTACCTCAATCTAGCCCCCTGAAGTCGCGATCGACATCCGAGTCACTCAAGCGGAAGATCCCTCCCTGCGCCGCATCCGACGATTACCTCCACAGCTACCGGCTGTCCGCAGACCCTGTTACCCCCGCCAAATGGGAGTCCGTCAATGGTGTCCTGCGCCAGCGGGACTCTCACCTTGCGCCAGTCTTTGCCTACAGTCCATCTTATGTCTCCCACCACTCCAGCTCCGACTACTCCCATAAGCAAGCCAACAAGCGAATTAAGCTTCTCTCTTCCCCTTCCAGCGACGGCAGCCGTCGTGGCACCACGATCGCCGATTTCCGTATTATTCACCTGCACCGCCTTCACAAGACCAGCGGAACCAGCAACACCGATGATGACCTCAAGCCGAAAACAGCGCAATCCGTCAGCCTCCCAGTCTCCGAATCCCATGCTTTCGTATGTTCCGTCGCCAGCGGCGGTCCGGTACGTGTCTTCCTGGACAAATGCAAGGGAGGAGGCCAAGAGCGGCCTTTTGACATCATGGACGGCGGCGTCTGGATTGTTGAGAAGGGATGGAATTGTCGGATGGAGGTAGCTGTTAGTGCCGCCAATGATGCTGCCACGGATGTAGACATGGAGAATAGAATGCAAGTGACTGCGAGTGTGCACGTCACTGGTGTTTTGGCTTCGGAGACCGGCAAGGAGAACAAGAACAAGCAAGAGAGGAAGCAAGAGAGGAAGGAGAAAATGGAGCAGAAGAAGCAAGAGAAGAAGATGAAGAAGGCTATCAAGGAGCAGCAGAAACAGAAGAAGGAGCAGGCGAAGAAAATCAAAGAGGAGAGTAAGAAGGAGAATCTGGCAAGGAAGCAGGCCAAGCAGGCTAAGCAAGAGAGGAGGAAGCAGAGGGTGATCAAGAGGGAGAAGAAGCATGTGAAGAACGAGAAGAATGAGAAGAAGGAGAAGAGGAAGGACTAGACTATTGACCGTTGACTGCCCTTTGGTGTGGTCATGGAGTCATGTTGTCACCATCTATGGCTGGGAATGTTGAGGATTTGTTTTGTCTGACCTTCATGCCCCTGGTCTACGAAGGAAAATTGTCAAGGCAAAAAGAGGGCACCTGTGTGCTTGAAGGATCACTTCATGTTTTTGATGCTCATTCACGAGTGTCAAGGGTATCATGTTGTATTAAACAGGCGGAATACCGATCATCCTGGAAATTTTCATGTCACTGTTTGCTGGAGTAGAGATATTTTGTTTTATGGCTTTAGCGAGCGAGCGAGCGCGCGTTATTTCTTTTCTGTTTTATTTGCATCGAGAGAAAGAAAGAGATGGGGGCATCTAGTGATGTCTGGTAGCTTAGATACCTTATAGAGCGTGCAAGCGAAGTCATCGCTGGTACTAATTTTATTTGAGATTACCTTACAAAGTTTGAGAGCCCGAGTGGGTGTCATCACGTTCCTTTGTATTTCATGATACCTTGTCTTATTATACCTGGGTATGTTATTGTTCGCTACACTGAAATTACGCTTATACGGTCCGAAAAGAAGTACCGATAGTCTCAAAACAACCAGGAGAAGCAAACAACGCCTGTCTGGCGCCGACCTTGTTGCGTTCCAGAGCTTTAATTTTTTGTACTTCAGATTTTCCTATTACATGTCTCTCTTCCTTTTCGCTTTTGCTTTTTCTCTCAGGTTTGCTTTTCGGCCTATTCTTCCCCTTTTCTCCGCGACCCTTGCTTCCTTTCATTCAACCTGACCATTGTGGTGTACAGGTGTAGTTGACACCAAATCCTCGACATTTTTAATGGAAAATGGTAAGCGGCAGAACGAGGGTTTCGAAACTTTGGATGGTTAACTACGTACAAGACTCATACCTACAGAACCGGGGCCTGCATGAACAATGGCTCCGTGCCTCCGTCTCGCCATGATCGCAAGACTTAATCCACACCTATATGTCTCCGTCCAGCAAAACCAACATGAGAAAGGAGTAGTCTCCCGTCGAACCAAAGCAATAAAAGCAAAAGGGGTATCGCAATCACAAAGCGCCAGTACTCCGTGTTATGCCCTCAAATAATCCAGCGACTTTCTCCTCGCAAACTCCTCCCTCCTTTTCCTCCCGATAGCCAAGTCTACTCGTTGTTTCTCCGAACCGGTATTCCAACGACGAAAAGCACAGCCTTGCTTCCCGTGTGCAGGTTCCGCACTCTGCACTCCTTTCCCGCTTCCACGGCCCAGCGATCACCACGCGACTGGGTAAAAGCAGCAACATCTTCCAGGATTACCTCGACGTTGCCCTCGTGAACGATGACTGCGAGGTTCTGGCCGTTGCTCGGGAGCGGAACCGTAGCGCCCATGTTCGGCAAGTCGAGAGTTTGCAGAGTTGCGCCGTCGGTACCGATAGGAAGAACATCTTGCTCAGACTGCTGGGGCCGGCTTGCTGAGTCAGAGTGCGCGTGACTGGTCGGGCCTTGAGAGGTTGTCAGTGATGTTGCGTTAAGGGGCACGTGGTAAGAGTGGGGGAGGCGAATATGTGGCTTACCGCTTCCCGGTGTGAAGAGGTCATTAGGCACGTTGCGCTGTGCCGAGAGGATGGCGATGGTTCCGGTCTGACACTGGGCTGGCGTTCCTTGGACGATCTGATGACTAGGAGTTCCCGGGTAGGAATTTGCGGGGAGAGCTCTTCCTGTATTCATGGTGGTAGCGGGTGGCGGAGAGTACGGCGAAGACGATCTGGAGGGAGATGGTGAAGAGGATTCCGACAAGGAAGAGGAAGATGATGATGAATACGACGACGAAGACGGCGCCGGGGACAACACCAGAGACAACACCGGAGTGGGGACCAAAGTGGGTGCCGAGACGGGTGCGGAAGTGGGCGGCGACCAAACGTCCGGCATAGGCGGGTTGTGGAAGCCTCGGTAGACCGCGTTGCAGCACTTTCTCTGGCCGGAACGGCTTTCGAACAAAACACAGCAATAAAAGGCAATCTCCCTGTATATGTCCGGTTTTCCTTGCTGCATGCCCTCGACGGCTGGGCTGACCGTTATCCACTTCTCCCGACAATTGGCTCCCGGAAGGTTGCAGAGGACGAAGTGATCTGACACATTGTCGCCAGTGAGGAAGTTAAGAAGCAATTTCGTAATCCTGCGGCTGGGCCTTTTAATTGCCAGTCTGCGTTGCCAGGCAATGGGGAGGTTGCGCTTGCGAGCACCATCGGTTTCGAGGAGCTTTACAAGCCCCTTTGAAATTTTGGGCACGATCGGTTCAGAATGGGTGAGACAATTGAGATATTGCCATGTCTCGGTTGCTTTGACCCTTATCTGCAACTTCTCGAAGCCTTCCTCATCGGCCTCATTGTTTTGTTGTCTTTGCTTCTTGCGTGGACCAGATTCAGACGGGTCATCGTCTTCCCTCTCTCTTTTGAAACTGTTGGTCTTCATGATTTGCTGAGCAATCGGAGATTCCTCTGTTCCGGGCTCCTTCTTTATGGAAGATGAAGAGGCAGACAAAGAAGATGTAAGAAATGAGGCCATACCGTGGACGAGATTGGGTGGCGACCAAATGTTCGGTGTGGAAGGGCTGTTGGAACTCCGGTAGAATGCATTGCAGCAAATCCTTTTGCTGGATTGGTGTTCGTCGTTGACAATAGGGAAGAAAACACAACGGGGAAATGCGCAGTCCTTGTAAATGGTTCCCTTTCCTTCTTCTAGACTGGCAAGGGCAGGGCCAGCCGTTTCCCATTTTCCAGCACAGTTTCCAGCAGAGGAGTTGCAGAGACTATCCGTGGGTGCGTCGCCATTGAGGTAGTTGATGAGTAGTGCCATATTTGCGAAACTGGGCTTCTCCAGAGCGAGACGATGTTTCCAGCCATCCGGTAGGTCTCGCTTGCGTGGCAGTTGAAGGACTGCGCGTATGGTCTTTGGAAAGGCGGGTACTGTAATGGGAGCTGATACCAGACGATTGATGTACTGCCAGGTTTCTGATGCTTTCACCTTTCTCTCCCTCACTGGATTCAATCTTCCCAATTTTTTCTTTCTGCCCTTGTCCTGCGAGGGTGAACCAGAGTGGCTGTCGCTCCTTGTCTTCCTTTTGGCGCTCCCGGGCATCGGATCGGCTTGCGCAATTGCATACAGCGGCTCCGCTGCACCGGGCTCTTCCTTGATTGTCGGCGACATTGGCGCGTGGCTGGTTTGATAGGCCAAGTTCGAAGGTTTGGATAACCACGGCGGTGGCGGCGGCATTTTGCTCCAGTCGATTGGTGGTGAGATTGTATCGCCACGATTTTGAGCACGATTTTGAGCACGGAGAGAGGCTTTGTGGACAAGGACGTGATGGTCAAATGAACTTTGGTGGGGAAGAGGAAGAACAAAGAACACGGAAAGTGGGATTGACAAAGCGCGACCCTCGCTCGGCTCTGAAACGGTTGGTATGCCAACCAATCCACCTTACAATTACTTGCCTACCCTGGCGGTACACCGGAGACCCCGGGAGACGGAACCCCTCGGGCGGGATAGTAGGCTGAATTCTTGCCGCTCAGGAGGTACGAGGGCCGGTCCCTGCCTTTAGTACCGGATGCCGTTCTGGGTCTGCGCCAGCCAAGAATCACCGGAAAGTGGGAACTAAAGATCGTACGCCCCCGGTACTCGTCCGCTCCTGTCTCTCTCGGTCACCATCAGTACGGGCAGTTGTGTCCGACCGAACGGTTACGACATTCGCATTCCGGCATCTTTCCGTCTGATGTCCCGTCTTACTCTTCCTTCATTTACTACGCTCTCCCCATTCTTCTCTTTTCCCTTCACCAGATCGCCGCTTTTTGGCCTCATCGTTTCGCAAACACAATCATACCGCGCCGCAGAGCAGTTGTCTTCCCTTGCTCTACGCCGCTTGCATCCAATATTGCCTTTATTCTCTGCTCCCCTCGTATGCTAATCTCTGTCAACACATCTTCCAAACATAATCTTCAACAATGTCTGACGGCGGTTCGAAGCCGGTTGGCTTTGTTTTCATCAGGGATAATAGGAGGAGATATAACGTTTGGGAGGGTGATATTGGTATGTCCTTTCCAGGAGCCCCATTCCCTGAATAACATCACGGATTTCCTGACACCTCGCTTGAAGATGGCAAGCACATAAATATTCGCGGATATAGCGCCCTCTTTCCGGAAGGATACCTGCCCGGTCGTACACCGGAGGCCAGCTTACTTGTATGGCACTGCCCGGTTTGAACATGTGGGCAGTCATTTGTCACGCCACCGTACCTTGGCGATCATTTCCTGGTAAGAACGTTCAAACACCCTCATTCGGAAGACGGGACTGCCGCACAATGTGCGGCCTCAAGACAATGCCTGGCATACTCGTAACAGAAAGGCAGCTAACAAACACTTTCTCCTGTCCAGAAATCCCATGCCGGGGCAATCCTACACGACAACATGGACGGGTCATTTTCTGTTCTTCCCCGAGATTCTGACTCCGCCAATGACGCAAACCTCCAGCCATACGTTGTGTCTCAAGGTGGCATGCCGAGCCCGAGCCCAAGCCTGCTTCATCCATCTCACTCTATGCCTCCCAACCTGGAATCAGGAGCCATCGACACATCCGCTATGCCGGTTAATGACGATAAGCCAAAGCCTCTAACTGGCAACAAATCGCCTACAGGCAAAAGTGGAGTAACCAATGCCGATGGAAATCACAGAAGTAGCGACAAGTATATCGACGAACATGACCCTAGTGAGCGTGGCCGAGGTGAACATGGATTACTTCCACAGCCACCGAATCCTAGCCTACCACTAAGGAAGAGAGATGCAAACAACCACAATGCCGTACCTGAACCCAAAAAAGCGAAGACTGCAACAGGGTTTTGGAATCAGCTTTTGGTGACCGGAGGAAAGCATGTACTAGAAGAGTATCGAATATCTGATATGCGTCAAAAGCCCGCTGCCTGGGAGGAGCTATGGGGTCAGCTCCCATATTCCAGACCAACAGCATATTTACCGCAGCGTACGTTGTCATCTGTTTTGGTTTTCTTTCTTCCTTTTTTTGTGGACCAAAATTCGTTGCACGGTTACTGATGATTCCTCGACTCCATCAGCTGCTTTAGCGTACTCTGCGTCAAGCGTGGCTCAAGGATGTGTTGTCACTGATGACGGTACATCGATTTGGATTCCGCCCTCTCGGTTAAGCGTGGCTCAAGGATGTGTTATCACTGATGACGGCACATCGATTTTGATTACCAAAATCAAACATGACCAGACGTACATCGTCGAATGCGACGTAAATTTACCCCTCCCCGACCTTTTCTGCACAATCCACAATGCCCCTGTGAATGTGACGATTACCGGTGAAGAACCCTTCACTATTTTCCCGGGAGGCTGCTGGCGTGTCAGAAATGAACACGTTTGCAAGGTCACGAACTGTTATCCCGACTCCGAAGCCACCATCCACGTTATTTCGCCATCAGTTAGGAACAAGGAAGATTAGCAAAGGGCGATAAAGCGATACAGGAACTTTTATTTGCGGGTGAAGGGCTGGTGTCGGCGTCAGAAGAGCGTTCGGGATTGATTGTGGTTTTCACTTGGTCAGCGTCGGCAGCGTATAGGCAGCGTATAGTAGAGTTATGAATGGCTACAAGTAGTTATTTACCGCAATTGCAGCTAGATCATCAATGTTTGAAACATGTTTAACAATGGGCCCAGAGGTGCAGACTGTGCAGTTCGATGTCGGAAATCCACTTAAAAATGTTGATGCCGCTATCCACAACGACTTGGCCGTTCTCCTCATGCGCAACGGGCTATCAGCTACATGTAATACATGTTGGGCCAAGGGTCTCAAGATACAACTGTCAGTGACTCTGTCAGTCCAAAGTGAATCTTTCCCTGGAATTTCATGTTGTAATGGGTTGGAGACCCGGATCTCATCACGGTAATCTGCACAGACGGACTACTTCACTCATGTGATATGGAAGCTGCCAGTGCTTGTGAGTTGGGGTCGATAGGCACTTGTATCGAGAGTAGGGGAACTGGTGTTGTTGCTGATGAGGTCCTGATGAGCATCCTCTCACGAATTTGATGTCTTTGATAAAGTAGAGGTACCTCAATGACCTTCGACATCGTGAGTTGAGCCAAATCGATGGTATGATGGATGAAGTTCAAGAAGATTAGGGGGCATTGTGGATGGACGATCACTCATGTAGACTAGAAGCTGTTAACAGAGAAAGTTGTAGCAGATTTTTGTCGGTTCACCATATCAAGTAAGCATCTGTGCCAGTTGACGCGCGTTCTCCATGGATTAAATGTTACTTCTGCAAATGAGGTTATCTACATGAAAGAAAAGTGAAGCACTGATGAACCGAACACCACTTCGTTGTTTGCCTTGTTATTATGAGTACATGTTGGTGCGTTGTTAAATGATTACCTAATGATGTCCTTGGAGCAATGAAGTTGGTTGCTCGAAGTATTCCCAGTAAATAGACCTGGTGTAACAACAAGAGTGAGAATTCGAGCTTTGATGCCATGGCTGGTGTATTGCTCTCCTTTTGTGCGCTTGAGACAAGACTCTGGTTCTGAGTGCGATGCTGGCATATTTTTCTGAGCCTTCATGAGGATGTCTGAAAAAAAAAAAAAAAAGTTCATCTGACGGACGACACTTGCCTAAATTACAAGCAGACCTCTTGCCTATCTGTGACGAACCGTTACAAGCACAGGAGTATTATCGCTGGGATAGAACAATAGAGTAACGGAGTAGTAGTCGAAAGGTACTGGTAGATTGTGGTAGCTATTGCTTGCCGAAGAACCCTAATAACCAAGGCCGGGAGGCCTTCTTATATACTGGCCTTCAGCCTTGTCCCGTGGTCCCGTAGACTCGGGACCCCGGGTCCTATCTAATTGGTCAATCTATCTAAGTCCACTGATTGGATCGTAACACTATCTCACCCTAAGCCTGAAGTGGGAAGCTCTCATTAGGAAGGAGAAAATCTCCCTGGCCTGGTTCGTGGAAGCGCATTTCTCGCAGAGTAGGGCGGCCATTGGGGGCGGGCGGCAAGGGCTGAGCAGGGTTCCGGGGAGGAGATTGGCTTCAAGATGCCTCGGGGATTGGCGTAGTCATCCGCGACTCAGACCTGAAGCCAAAGAGAATATTTGAGAAGGAGTTTAATTAAAGAATGGAAAAGATGGAACTGAGCGTCTCACTGTAGAAGCAAAAGTCGCCTGATAGACACTGCCTGGAGTTTACCACAGCTTTGACATTTGAACTTGGGTGGGTAGCGACTTCCGAGCGGAAACACATCTCAAACTGCATGCGTGAAGCAGCTGTACAATAGAAGTTCCATTTTTCGTACATGCTTCTGCGTCTGCATCAGGCAGGTATTCCTGAGCGCACCTTCCTTTTACCAGAAGGCATTGAATGACACTTCTTCTTGTTGAGCAAGATGGTTATTTTGACAATCGTTCCACACATGTACTTGACCAGAGATTCCCGTCTCTCGTCTCCCATCATCTCTCGTCTCCCATCATCTCTCGTCTCCATCATCTCTCGTCTCCCATCATCTCTCATCTCCTCATTCAATCAACAAGTTCACTACAACTCTTGTGTCGTGATGCCGTCGTTTTCGGTTCCCGTGTTCATCTCTACATTTCCTTTTCTACTGAATGTTTAGGTTGATACCGAGTCCGTACTTGGCTGTTGTCTTCAACGTAGTGATCTCGCTCCCCTTTCCGCCTCCCTTTCATCATGCTTTTCGACACCCCTCAGGAGCAACTTGGTGTAGTTACACCCGCGTTGCGCAATCATTGTTCGACGAGACTATCAAACGTGCTGCTCTTAAACTCTTTTGGTTAATCTCCCATACAATATCCTTCCTTCTTTCTCCGTGCGTTCGTCTACAAAACCAACCACGGCACCCAATTGTTCCTTTCCGGATTCACAGGCACATCTTATTGTTGATGAGTCCAGATGACTGCCCCCAAGTTTCCTATCCCCTGTTAATTGATCAGCCCATTTGACCTTTTACATTCGTCCTCGCGAATGCCTTCAAACGTCGAAGTGTCCACACAGTCTGGCTGACAAAACCACCCGATACCAACTACATTCAACTGGCACAACCAACATCTCTGAGGCAACTCAAAGCAAGGAGATTGGGCATAACAGACAGTCACTCATATCTCAATTGGTAGGAACTCTTGCGGAAGTCCTTCATGATATGCCGTTGGTGTTGTTACATGTTCATTACAAATATTCTACATACAGCCAGATAGTTCAACAAACGCTCCCTCTTTCGCATGAAAGAATCCCATAAGCACGTGTGAAAGCTAGTGCTTCCCGCTTCTTGCTTTCTCGCACCATATTCATGCGAAGAAAAAGCCAGAAAACCAGACGTCCTTCTCAAAATCACCAAACCATCAATCACCCTCAAGATCCCACGCTCCGAGTCTCCAGGCTAGTTGTCCACCAGAAAGGTAGTTGTGAGAGAAGTTCGTTCGAGCGATGCCATCGACCTCAATCTTCTAGGGTGAATCTTCCTTGTTGTTATCGGAATATGTTGATGTGGTCTCACTCTTTACTGGCGTTCCTTCGTTGATACTCTCGTCCATAATCTCACTCGCCATCATTGAAGTCGAATGTCTTGAGTGATGATCCTCGCAACGATGATAGGTCAAAATACTTCACCCACAACTCTCATCCACCCATCAAAAGGTGCCTGGTACTAGAAGACCAAACGATCGTCATCATCTTCCTTCAGCAAAAGCAAATAAATCCTCCTCCGGTTCCTCATCTTCCTTGACGGCAGCTGTTCCTGAGAAACTCTCTCATCACAAGAGAAAGAGCCCAGTCTACGCCCCGCTGGGAGGAGATTCCAACAATGTACAAAACTGCCTTCGCTCCAACTCTCACGTTTCGAACGCGGCATGCCTGCCTGGCACCAACAGTCCACTGGCTACCACAACCAATGTTGAAGACCGGGGCACCATCCATGATAACCTCCAGTGTGCCCTCATGGACAGTGCAGACCAGGCTTCGCGAGTCGCTGGGCAGACGAGTCGGAGTGAAAGGGTTGTCCAAGTTGACAACCAGGCTGCTGATTCCGTTGATCCCGGTAGGAAGGAGGTGACCCTCATGATCCTGCAACCAGCCCGCCGGGTGTGCGTAGCTGATGGAGACTAGATGTTTGTTAGTGGTTATGCCTCGATGAAAAGGCCAGAAACGTGTGACATACTGTTGCCCGGTCCCTGACGGTACAAGGGCTCGCGACGCTCCTCCCAGGTGCCAGTGAGGAATCCAAGGGCACTCTCTTGCTGGGCTGGTGCTTCTTGGACGGGTTGGCGGCTGGCAGCTTCGCCAAAGACAGTTGGCAGCTCTGGACTCTCGGCCTTGATGAAGGCAGCCGGAGCGGGGGTCGAGGAGTGAGCCTGAGCAGGCGGCGGAGAGTACGAAGGCGTATACCGATGAGCGAGAGGCTGGGAGAACGGCGGGCGCAGATTGCCTCTAGGAGGGCAAGCTGGAGAAGACGCCGAAGGCAACATCTGAGGGAGGCCGCGGCCCAGAGAGGACGGCGGTGGCAGTGTGGGAGGGATGGCCGGAGGGGCAGCCGAAGGCAGCATCGGCGGGTTCACCGGAGCAGAAGCAGGCGGCAACCAAACAGGTGGCATCATGGCGCTGTTTGAGTTCCGATAGACGCCGTTGCAGCACTTTCTAGTGCCTGAGGACTCTGTGAACAAGACACAGAGAGGGAAGGCGCCGGCTTTCTGGATGAGCATGCTTCCCATCGCCACGCTCTCCATGGCTGGGGCCACGGTTATGGACTGCTCGAGGCAGTTGGCACCCAGAAGGCTGCACAGGTACGAGCCACCAGGGACGTCGTCACCTGTGAGGAAGTAGATGACGAGGTTCTTGACGGCGAAAGAGAGCTTTTCAACCGCGAGCCGGTTCTTCCACGCGGGTGGCAGGTCACGCCTACGGGGTTGCTCGAAGAGAGCGACGAGCTGGTGGGAAAGGTTGGGCACCATGAACTCAAACCGGGCGAGGCCGCTGATGTACCTCCAAGTTTCTGTGGCTTGGATCCGGCTCAAAAAATTCTCAAACTCCTCGTCGTTGCGGATCTGGGGCGTGCGAGGCACGCGGAGCTCCTGGGGAGACATCTTGAGTGTTGTGAGGTGTTGTGAGGATTTGTTATTGCGCGTGGTGTGAGTTGAGAGGTTGTTGCGTGATAATTGATGGAAGAGGGGAGAAAGGAAACGCGGCGGATAGATGCGGTGAGTGAGCGCAAACAAACGAGGAGGCCGTTGCCTAGTGAGCCACCCCTCTTGCCGTGCCCCCCGCCCTCATCTCCTTTGCCGGCCCGTTTACAACCGGCGCAAGTTTGATCTGAGGCTCCCAGCTGGGAAGGCACGGTGTGGCGGCAAGTGCGAGTGCTCCTTACGGTAGAAGCCACACTTTCTCCCTCCTCCTATCGTTCAAGACCCTCTTTTTTCTTACCTTTATCTAATACTTCTTATCGTTTTTTTGCTTTCCAAAACCTCAAAATACTTCCCTGCTTGCCTCTTCCGGATATCCCTAACCATCTAATAGGCCTTCAGTGTTCCCCGAAAGCCCATATCTTTTCGATGATAGGCTTCAAACTTGGAGGTTAAAGGGTTTCAAGATGAAAGGAGGAAAACAATAACTTTAGATAAAGGTAGAGAGGGAAACGAAGTTGGAAGGAGGAAGATCTTGCTGAACGGAAGTTGGAATAATAAAGATAGGGCCTTGGATCGAAAAATTCTGGAGAGGTCTTAGATTCGAAGAGGACCTCCTTTAAAAACGGAGGATACTTTATTCAAAGGAATGAGAAATAAGAGTCAAAGCCAAAAAAAAACTATATTGGAGATTAGAAAAGGTAGGAACGAAAAAGGCTAGATTTCGAAGTTCTTCAACGGAAGAAAAGAAACGGAAACTAGAGTAGCCTAAATACTGAGAAGTATGTGCTGGGTGTTGAAGCCATCACATTCTTTGGCGTTTCTGTCTAAGTGGATACGATCCACACATAGCTACCCTGTATATAAACCACGTCGGACTCCGTCCTCCCTGTTCTGTTCTCTCTCTCTCTTTTAACCTAATCAATACACGAAATTCAATCCCACACTCAATGCCACTTGTGGTGTATCATTCCGTTACCTCCAACACTGGGAAAGAGGCAAAGGCTCGGTAAATAAGACGGCCCAGGATACCGACTTCCAATAAAGTGCCACTCACTACCTTCAAGCGCCAACGCGAATACGAGGAAGCCTAGAGAGAGAAGGCGAAGAGAAGCGGCCTAGAGTCCAGACTTCCAACAAAGTGCCACTCACTACCTTCAAGCGCCAACGCGAGTACGAGGAAGCTCAGAGAGAGAAGACTAAGAGAAAGCAAGGGCGAAGGGCGTGCCGGTAAATAAGTAAAAAGCTTAGTAAATAAGCGGCCTAGGGGGCGAACTTCCAACAAAGGGCTACTTACTACCTTCAAACGCCAATGTGAATTTGAGAAACCGTAGAGAGAGAAGGAGATATCACAGGATTAGCCTGTGATGGGTGCAGCACGTGACCACGCGCCACGTAAGTTGTACGTGCCTAGCCATGCCCTCTATATAAGGCCTGGTTGGCACACCACTTCCTTTCTCCTCTACTCGTACAACTACATATATCCATATCTATACCCAACGTCGAGTCCACCTGTGACGGCTGGCACCATCTGGGCTGTCACATGCCTACCATCAAGGCTCCCATTCACATGGGTGCTGTTCAATCGGGTCATCCCATTCACGGGTTTGGCTGTCACTGGTTGTCGCCTGTGGTCTGGGTATAAAACCCAGCTCTGGCATCGAGCGTTCCCTTTTGGGATTTCTTCCCTCTTCAGCTTCTTATTCTTAGTCCAAGATAATCAAATCGTACACAACGTGCCCTCTGGTTACGCCGTGACACCACCCGTGATAGGAGAAGAGAAAGTAAGGGCAAAGCGTATTAAAACAAAGTACCACTTACTACCTTCAAGCGCCAACAGAAATTCAAAGAAGCGTAGAAAAAGAAGAGGAGAAAGTAAGAGCAATGCATACTAACGCTAGTTTATAAGTTGGTCTATTTAATACAACCCTTAAGTAGCGTAGTTACTAGTGTTGAAGCCATCACATTCTTTGGCGTTTCTGTCTAAGTGGATACGATCCACACATAGCTACCCTGTATATAAACCACGTCGGACTCCGTCCTCCCTGTTCTGTTCTCTCTCTCTCTTTTAACCTAATCAATACACAAAAAATTCACTCCCACACTCAATGCCACTTGTGGTGTATCATTCCGTTACCTCCAACAACTAGTACTTGAGAGAAAGTAAGGTAACCCGTAGTACGTTAGTACTTACTTAGCGGTAAGATACGTACAGGTACTGTTGCACTTTTTCCCGAAATTTAAAATCCTAGATAATAGCTCAGTACTGAAGTATATAGTTCTACCGGCTTTTGGGAACTACGAAATAATCCGCACAAGCCACTCCCGTAAGCTATTAACTCAATTAAAGTACTAGGCAGCTACCGACGAGCTTACTATCTATCCGGTGCCGTTCTCAAAGTATTGCTATATTTGTACTTTTACTACGAGGCGTTTATTTTTGCCCTAGGACGAGCCTCCCCGCCTCGCTAACGAGGGTATCAAGTGTCGTTTGGTAACCTTCCGTCGTAATTCCCAATTTGTGGACTGAAACGTGGACAAGTGAATAGACAACGGCCAGACCCGCCTCGTAGCTCCCTGCCCGGTTATCCACCGTTTGTCTGCCACTTTCTTGGAGCTTCCACTCAATCCTCACACTACCTAGGTATTTATACCACCCATTCCTCCTCCTTTCATTTCCAACTTCCACTCGCAAACCTTCCACTTCGCACACTTCTATCACAAACAAATAACAACAAAAACAACCTCAAAATGTCGTCAAACCCTCCTCCGTGGCGCCAACAAGGCCCCCTTAGTGGCACCACCTGTCCAGTCCACCACAACCACAACCACAGCCCCAACCCCAACCAAGAGGCCACGGGTCTGGAGCGCGGGACAATCATCCGCGGTGAGGTCTGGCAATACCTCTTGAGCCTCAAGCCGGATCTCGGACTGCCCCCAGGCGTGGCAAACATCAAGGCCATGCGCGACCTCCTCGCCCTTCCGCGCAAGCGCGACTTGCCCAAGACCTGGCAGACTCGACTGGCCCAGAAGGGAATCACGGGTCCTAAAATGTTGCGCCAGATTGCCTCCTACCTCGTCTGAGACGAAGCTGCCGGCATCTTGTCTTGTGCGCCTTCCAAAGATTCAACTGCGCCAGAAGATAGCATACCGTCAGCCGGCCCTCTATGACATGGTAGAGCGGGGCACGGTGGAGGTATTTTGTCGTGGCATTGCGACATTGTTGTGGCCGTGGGCGGCGCGATGGGCAGAAGCGGTCCAGAGCAGTCAACATGAAGGAATCAAGGAGATGCCAGGCAAAAGAATCTCATGGGGGGAGATTGCTTTACCGTCGTCATCGGGAAGGAAACACGCAGGGGAAAGGTACTGGGTTGGAGGCAAGGGATTTGCAGTGGTGGTACGAGCTCTTCAATCATCAACTTGACCGCGAAGAATAGGTCGCCAAATTCAATGTTGCCCCATGAGTCGATTTCCAATTCCCTGGACATTGTCGGGAAAGAGACAATACGTGACTGACTTAATTCAGTGAATCCCTTGCGCCTGGTATAATACCGTAGCTGCAGGAACAGGAACCGCGGAAGGCACCCTCCCGAACGGTCCCTCACAACGTGCCAAATGTAACCCACTTCTTACCTCGCAGCGACCCACTCTTTTTTTCCTCTACCACCGTAAGCAGAACATCCATCCGGACACTCGCAAATACCTAACACTGTGACGAGAAAGAGGAGTTACAATAATGGAAACGAAGAACCGAGAGCTTCGAAGCTGGTGTCTCGTGAGAGTATTGTGTAAAAAAACATTTCTTCAAGTTTTTACGCGGGGCAGAAGTCGTGTCTAGTTCTTAAGTGCGTCTGGCTGGAGTGGTATTCTGCGAACAGAAAGCTGGGATGAATAGGAAACAACAAGCAGATACAGGACAAGCTATACAAACGAATGACGCGTCGGAAACAAGTCAAACCTCACGCGGCAACATCTGAGGCGACATGATTAGGAGGAACACTCCTACCTCTATAGAGGTAACATCCAAGTTTGACAGTTAGGAAGATAGTGGCTTTATCATCAACGACACGTTTACTCACGAACATACGGTAATTGTCGAATCAGCATAAGAAGCTAAATGGTTGTGATATCTTTGATCTCCAAGGCGACGGTACATCCTTGCTGTTGTTGTCCATCCACGTCTTCTACTGTGTACCCTACGGGGTAGAATCCAGCAACCCCGTCAGTCAGCACCGTGTTCCTCCACGTCGCCGATACCACCTCCTTTGCTCTTGCTGCCCCGTTCGCCGGTCTTTTTGGCCCCATCTCCGCCGCCATCATTGTCTCCAGTTCCGTCTCGCTCGCAATCGCCGTAGACTTTGCTGCCGCCCGTATGCAACTAGTTTCTAGCTCGAGGCTCTGACTTGTCGTGGTTGTCGTCTGGCAAGGAAGGGGTGTCAATGTTGTCGGGTACCGGTCGGAGAAAAGGGGAAGTCTGAGATGTCCGGTTAAACACCATGCGTTCCTGGACCGCAACGAGAGCAGGTGCAGGGACCACAACGAGAGCAGATGCAGGTACCACTGCAGGTGCAGTTGCAGGTACAGGACATGCAAAAGGTGAAGGTACCATCGGGATGGCAGCGTAACAGTTCCTTGGTATGAGCTTCCTAGAAAGGAAAAGTATTGTTAGCCGCGTTTCCATCACTACCTCTAGGTAGATACCACAACAACTATAGATAGTCGTGAAGACCGGAAGTTTATTGTGCGCTTTTTCTGTATTCCAAACGAGGGTGTTGTAATCTTACCGCAAGATGATCGACCAGAGCCAATTGCTTCTGGAATGCTTCGTCACAGGTATGGACTGGGCAGTTCCAAGCTCTGGTCTCTGAAAGATACTTGGGCCAGAAACCAAGGGAGATGAGCTCACTAAAGCCGAGCTTAGAGGTATCCTGGCGCTTCATGTTACCATCTTCAAGCGCGGGCACAGGTCAGCAAGGCACAAACAACGTCCGGAAGAAAGAGATTTCTGGGGGCCTGGACTCACGAGATGCGCAGCATAGGCGCTTCCACACGACCTTTTTCTTCTCGTCTCCGGCCGAATAAAGTTGCTTCAGCTTCTTCAGCCTCGAATCGCGTCCTGCCATTGCTGGTTTCTGTTGGACGGCGGGTAACATAAATGCTGTAGTCAACGATAGGATCAGGAAGCAAAGGAGAGAAGAAGAAAACAGGAGGGAATCAAGAAGTGAGGAAATGTGTCGCTTGAAGTAATTTTGGGTGGAAAGCTTGTCGAACAAGGTCGTTGCTGTGCTGGTAGCTGTTATAGTCGCAAGATGAGCTCGGAAGTCATTTAGAGGGCGGTGAAGTGACGAGGTAGCGACAGCGGGAGTGGAGTAAAAATGAATAGTTCGCGGTGGAAATACAAAATGTTGCCCAAGGCCCCGGTCAGATGGGAGTTGGTAGTCGCCTAGGTAGTAATTTACACCTAGAGGTACCTTAGTAGTGCGAAGTGGGTGTAATAACAACCCGAATATGGACAATAGAATACGCCTTCGGTTAATTCAGAAACGCAGTTGCGAAAATGTTCCAGGAATCAAAGAATATAGACACATCCTTCATGGAGTGCATCAGAAATCCCTCCATCTAAAGCACGCCTAGAAGCTGCAGGAAGTTCAGTTGAAAAATCATTGTAGAAGAGAGTCTCCGCTATTGTACGGAAGAGCACACCGAGCAAGGCTTGTGTTTCAAGAACCAAACACTTGCTCTCATTCCCAAGTGAAAGCGACGGCTTGATCGCCTTACTCTCTACCTCAAGGGAGACAACACGCCATTCAAGTTTTCCGCGCCCAACGCGCCTGGCTGTCATGGATAACAGCTGCAGGAACAATCGTGGAAGGCACCCTCCCAGACGTGCCAACTGTGGCCCACTTCTTTCTTCAGACCAGACCCACTCTTTTTCCTCTACCCGTAACCAGAACTTCCTTTCGGACACTCGCAAATAACCTTCCTCCACAAACTTCCATCCACTTTTAATTATCGTTCTCGTGCGGTGCTGGTTTGAAATGCTCCAATACCGACACATCTTATTTGAAAGGTTTGCCCAGCATCTCTGGGAGGTCATCGGCATCTACCGAATCCTGTTCTCTATCGCTCTTGCTTGTTGGCTCACGTACCATTTCTCCCTCCCAGCTTCCTCTTCACTTCATTCCCCATGGAAAGACAAAATGTGGGTGATAACTTTGGATCCCAAGTCAGCTGAGAAGTTTTCGGTGGGAGAGGTGAGAGCTGTTGAAAGTGTTGGGCGACCTCTCGACGGGATTTTGGTGACAGCCCATAGCACTCAATATCCAGAAGCCCATTTTCGCCTGTAAAATTTCATCATTTCAGTACAGAAAACATCCCGCTTCATTGTACCGTACCAGAGTTTTGGTCACCTTTATTGAAGATTCACTACATACGTTAACAATATTTA